TTACCTTGATGTGCTCGTAAAGTATAATTAGTATAAATAATTCGGCTCTACTCCGAACTTCGGCTCTCCTTGCACCTTTGGACGCTGGCTGGACAGCTTAGGTCGGCTTAGTGGGAGTTCTCTCCCTTGGCCGCATTGAAAAAAACCGAGCGGGAAAGTCACGAATCAAATGACATACTTACCTATCATCATCCGGGTGGGTGTAGGGTTGCGTACAGTTGCGTGTAGGGTTGCGTAGTCATCATACTGTTGCGTCTAGGGTTACCTATCATCATACAGTTGCGTGTAGGGCTGCGTAGGGTGTCTATCATCATCATACGGTTGCGTGTAGGGTTGCATAGGGTGTGGGTTGGGGTTAGGGTTAGATGTGAAAACGGTGACGTAGAACTTCCAAAAAGGGCTGTACCGAATAGTGATTTTCACTATTCGGCCGAATACGAATAGCTGGACCAACTATTCGGCCGAATACGAATACGAATAGTGAATCATCATCATCAGGTGCTTTGCCGACTGGCATGGGTGATTATGCCTCACCACAATCTGCGATCTCCTGCAGCATGTATTAGTTCGTGGGCTGATACACCGCCAATACTGTCAAGAATTTTCTCTCATTGTCTTCCTTTATTCCTCCTTCCACATATCTTTCCAGTGGTCACAACATGTTCTATTTCCCCTCATCTTATAACGTGGCCGAAAAATAATGACTGTCTCCTTCTGGTGTCTATGAGTAGTTGTCTTCGGGCTCCCACCTCTTTCAGAACCTCTTGATTGTTCTTTTTAGCTGTCCAAGGTATTTTAAGCATTCTTCTGTAAAACCACATCTTTGAGGCCTCAAGAAATTGTTTGGCCTGCCTACCGATTGTCCAGGACTTACAGCCATATGTTAAAACTGGATGTATGTAGCAAGCAAGAATTCTTTTTCTTACCTTCAATGACAAAGATATACTGTATAATATGTTCTTCATTTTATAAAATGCAGTTTTTGCCTGTTCTATTCTGTTTCTCATTTCAGTAATGCATCTTCCATCTGATGTTATCCATGTGCCCAGATACTTAAATTTCTGTACTTGTCCCAAAATAAAACCACTTAAGTTTATTACACATTTAGGAATAATTATTTTCTTTGATACCACTATTACCTCTGTCTTCCCACTATTCAAACTGAGGCCTATGCTTCCACTTTCGTGTATAAATTAGATTTAAAAAAATAATCCATAATGTCAAATGTACGCTGAAATTTAACTTCACAAAATGTAGTACAGAATAGTAAACATTTAAAAACATTTCATGTTTTGCATCCTTCAGTCAGTCAGTCTGTGGTAACTAATACCTAGGAATGAAAGTATTCTTAGTTTTATAGCAAGTAACTAAACTTGTAAATTGTCACTGACGGCTTAGTTGATCCATGAAAGCGGCATTAGCTTTCAAAAAAAAAAAAAAAATCGTTCCACGTTGTCAGCATTAAGGCAGCTTCTTGTCTCACTGTAGGTATTTCCATCTGTACTAAACAGACGTTCACTTGGTACGCTCGTAGGTGGTGCACAAAGATAACGCTTGACAATATGAATCAAGGTGGGAAATCTTGATATGTTGATTTTCCACCAGTCCAGAGACGGGTGTAAGGTAACCACTATTCGTATTCGGCCCGACCGCAACTATTCGGCCGAATACTGAATAGTTATTAGGTCCACTTTTCGGCCCCGAAGCGAATACAAAGCGAATATTCAGTACAGCCCTACTTCCAAATACTGGGCGACAATCTGATGCTTGTGGGAGTGGCGCCATTGGAAGTGTGCCAAATATGACGGCAATAGCGCGCGGCTGGTGCCCAATCGGTGACGAATTGTCCGTGTCAGTAGCATCCACCGTCCGTCGACTGTTTGCGTGTGTATGTGACTGTGCGCGATTATAGGGAACTATGGCGTCAAAATTGTCACATCTAACGCTAAACCTAACCCTACCCCTACCACTAACCGTAACCCTACCCCTAACCCTAACGCTACCCCTAACCGTCACCCTAATGCTACCCCTAATCCTAACCCTACCCCTAACCCTAATCCTACCGCTAACCCTAACCCTACCCGTAACCACGCAAATTTATCGGTCATTAAAGCATACAGATCGGCAAAACACCCACACAAAAAAAAACACCCCAGATTTCCTCGCAGCGTCAAAAGAAAAACCAAGATCTGGGGGACACAACCAAGCATTGGCAGCACTGATGTCGACCTCACTGTCTTGTTTGATTCGGGACTTTTCCACGCCTTGTTTGCAATGCGGCCAAGGGAGAGAACTCACACTACGCCGACCTAAGCCGTCCAGCTAGCGTCCAAAGGTGCAAGGAGAGCCCCAAACTTCTACCCCCGCGGTAATCCAGACTGAACTATCCGTTCGGTGCGTAGTTAGATTAAAAATATGGATTTGTCGGAGTTCCCGACGAAGAACAAATTGCCGCAAAACTAGCAGTACCTTACAATGTCACGAGACGCAACATTGCAAACGATAGTAGCAGACGATAAAAGCGAGCGGTGACAATGTCGAGCGTTTTCTGCACACGATACTAGCAGACGATAAAAAAAAGCGAGCGTTAACAATTTCGAGACATTACAGGTGATAGACCGCGCGCTCCCATGCAGATTAGCAATACTGTTCTTCCGATTGAGAATTTAGCAGCCGTAGATGTCAGACGTTGGCCGTCTGTGGCTTAGGCGTTACGAACGCGCTTTGTAATGCCGGGGTGCCGGGTTCGCTCCCAGCTGCATGCCTTGCGTTGGTTTCGACAGTGGTATCGAGAAGCCGACCGTCCAGAAAGCAATGGCAAACTACTGTACGTAAACTTGCCTAGAAAAACCACAACAGCCAAAAAATGCTGGCGTTGGTTCTGCAACGTCCTGTAAAGGATACACAACTAAAGAAAAAAGATGTCATACTTGTCGGCATGCGCAAAACGCAATTAAACTCACTGCCGAGTGTATCCCCCAAGCCGCTACGCGCGGCGACACAGGTCCGCAAGTAACATATCGCTGAGACCCCCGTGTGGGTTCCGGGGCCCCATTGTGGGGAAAACAAGAATAGACCCACTGCCTCACCAAAAGCATGTCGTAAGAGTCGACTAATTGGGGAGCTTCCTTTGAAGTCGGAGTGCATCTGCCGGAGAGGCAAGGAACCAACAGTCTGTATTCAAGAGAATGAGATCTGTAAAACTGATGCACACGCAACACTCAGGTTCTGGAGCAGGACTGCAGTTCAGTAGTGGATGAGCAACCAGAACCTTCCGCCAGAGTTTACAGCTGGTGAACGCGAAGAAGAAGAAGATATCGCTGAGACACAGAGCATTTGTGTCGTTTTTCCACGATTTGTTCGTCAATGGAAAGTGTCAACGGCCGCTATTATTATCGTCTGCTACTATCGTCTGCAGTGTTGCGCGCGTCTCTTAGAATCGTCAGCTAATCAGAAACAATAAAAAACAGGTCTGCAAGTAACATATCGCTGAGACACAGTTAGAGCATTTGTGTCATTTGTCAGAGCCGATGCTAGATTTGCCGCGATTTGTTCGTCGTCGGCAGAAAGTTCGACAATGGAAAGTGTCAACGGTTGCTATTTTCGTCGTCTGCTACTATCGTCTGCAGTCTTGCGTCTCTTAGAATTAATTGTCAGGTAATCAGAAACAATAAGAAACAGGTCCGCAAGTTACATATCGCACAATTGTTTCGTTATACGGAGCCGGCATATTTTTAATCTGACTACGCATCGAACGGATAGTTCAGTCCGGATTACCGCGGGGGTAGAAGTACTTATATATATATATATATATATATATATATATATATATATATATATATATATATATATATATATATATATATATATATATATATATATATATATATATATATATATATAATATTAAAAACAGAGCCAGTTTATACTTTATACGCTCAAATAATGGCAGTTTCTAAGGACTCTAGTCTGTTAGTATCAAATACTGTTAATTCTCCTGTCCATTATTTACTTGGTTTGCTCTTCCCTTTCGATTTCCACTTAGTTAAACATTATTGCTCATTAAGGTATAGTAAACTGATTACTGTTTGTTGGAATAATAAATAAAGTGCCAAAGATACAGCCCACCTACACTGCAAATTATTAAAAAATCTCTTTCATTGGGTGGCACAATCTATGTAATTTACTATGGATCTTCTGTCTATCACAAAGATACCAGACATGTATATATGGGATAAAACCGGGTACAATGAAAGTGAAATCTATCCTCTCGACTTTAACCTGATATGTGACATGTCTGTGCATAATCATCTTGACTATAACTGTATCACTTTGTTTCAAAGATGCAAAAAAAGTATCTGTGATCACTGTTTACTGTTAACATTCATTACATTCTGTTGAAGGCCTCAGCGGGCAGCTAACCATTCTGAAGAGAGGAGCCAGGCCGTATAGGTTAACCTAGTAGGCTGTCAGCATTAAGCATTGATGAACAATAACAGGCTTAGCATGAGTTGATTTAGTCTTCTTCTTCTTCTTCTTTTCTTCCACCTTGTACCTCATCAAAGTGTCGGGGGGAGATGTAATGTTTGTTGATGGGCTCTGTCAAGAGCACTATTAAGACTGATGTTCATTTCTGTAAGGCTGTTCTTAATGCCATCACTCTATATTTTCTGAGGTCTTCCACTTGCTGTATACCTGTTGTAACGTTTTAGTGTGGCTCGCAATGGCAGATAGTACCAGTATTTGATTTAATACATGTTTAAAAAAAAAAATTAGAACAGCATTTTTATTAAATTTGTAAAATAAATTCTGCAGTGTTGCAGCATGTTAACAGTATAAATGTAAATAAACAATACATGTTGTGTTACAGTATATCTCATAGGCTGTTATACTGTACCTTGTAGTTTTATTCTTTCCCATAAAGTAATCATTTCTGTTTTGATGGCAGCGTTATGTGAAATAGACACAGATGTACAGCTTTGTGTGGCAACTAACGGAAAATGGAGAGCTCAAAACCAGACGCAGGCAGAAGGAAGAGAGATGATCGGCAGTTGGGAGAAGGAGATGGATTTTGCTCAGAACCTGATAAAAATAGGTAACAGAAATTTCATAATATTTTTTTTGTGCTTTTCAAACTTGATTAAGAAAAATTGATTAGTTGTTAGAATCCTTCTCTTTCAATTACGGAGACAAGGTTTCCATTAAACTGAAGTAATATAATCAGTTTAGTTTGGCAACTGTGGCCTTCCCTTCTTTTTTCTGAAGCTGCAGTTTTTGTTGGTACCAGGAGGAGCATTTAACAATGCTGGGCTGTCCTTACAGAAGACCCAGGTTTGAATCTTCTGTAAAACAGTGGGTATTTTTTTAAGGGTCAAAAATAGATTACCAGCCTGCACAGTTTGTAACAACCTGTAACTATATATCAACAGGCTAAACCCCCCACCCCCTCCACCTCTTTTCCCACCTATGCTGCCATAAAAAGTGATACAGCAAGCTCAGTTTAAAAAAACACCCATATATTTTCTTTGAGAGGAGGCCAGTATTTTGGGGTGACATCAAGATGTTTTTTACGCCATTTTTGTGTGGCTATGAATATTTACTTAATATTTTATCCCATTTTGTTTTAGTTATAGATTAAAACACTTCTCAGGGTAACCACCGGTAATGTATTGATAATATTTCTGAACAATATTACTCATATTCGACAAGGCAGACAGTGTAAATTTCATTTATTAACAAATGTTAATGGAGGACATGATTTAAATTAAATGTGTGTAAGGTTATGTTTTTGAAAAGCGTAGTTAAATTCCATTGGTCTTTGTGTGACTGAGTAGTGTTTAGGTGGCCGTGTATGAATATATTAACTAAAAATAGTAATGGAGGTTTGGAGGGGGGGGGGGGGTGTGTTCTTATGACCCCAGTGGCTTTGTTTAAAGGCATGTTGACATAACATTTTCCTGTAAGTCTCTGATAGAAGTCAAGGGGACATGATATGAATCACCCAGTATATTCTTGTTTTAACCCTAGATTCTTTTATTTTAATTCATGAATTTCTGGGGTGAAAGGGATAATTCTGAAGCCCAGTGTGTTAGACAGGAGCTGGTATTACCTGGAGCTGCCAAGTTTATCACCCTCGCCTCTGACTTGCTGTTAATCCTGTCTGCAGTCTCTGTTATGTAGTCAGTGAGCATTTTCTATAGATTGGAACAAAAGAGGAACTATTTCAACACATACAGCATTCAAATTAGTTTTTTTTTTTTCAAGTCAGAACTATACCTGTTGTTTAGAGGTTAGAAAAATAGTTTCATAATGCAATCCTTGACGTTTAACAGGGTTCGATTCCCACAATGCAGGGTTTGGGAAGAGACTGTACTTGTCGATTAAGACAGTGGTACAAGGAAGATTGGGACCTCACTTGTAATATTCCCACAGCACATTTGATACACTGCTGCCAACTTCCAGTTTGGAGACGGCCCAATTTTTATATTATTGTTTGCATAACTTATGGAACTGCAGTAGCAGTATCTACAATTGCATGGTACAGACAGAATATTTTAAAAAAAATTCTCATCAGCAATTAAAATTCACATTTAACATTCCATTTTATAAATGTTCTTTTCAGGTATGGCTCAAGTCAGCATCGAGGATATCCTGGAGGAAGTGGGCGAGGCAGTTGTAGAAGTAGTGACCGGCCTAAATTTTCTGACAGAGGTGACCAAAGAGGTGACAGATCAGAAAGAAATGAAAGACGAGAAAGGATGGATAGTGATGACAAGTATGGAAGTAGAGGAGACAGAGACAAAAGGGGAGACAGGTATAGCAGTTTATTCTTCCTTCTGTCGGGTCAGAGACATAAAAAAAAATGATTTAAACTAGGCTTTTATCAATAATAGTTTTTGTGTGTGATTTGCACACATGTTCATAATTACTTGTACTAATAGAAACCCTGATTATATCTTTTATCAGCCCTTTGTAAGTTAAAATTTCTTCTTTAGCTCTATTTAATTATTGCTTCTTATTGAAATATTTTAGTCTATTAAAAAGTTAAAGTTGAGAGGTTCGACTTCAATGCACCAATGTTCAGCCCATATGGCTTGATCTCTCTTTGTAGAGCTTTTAGCCACCTGCTGACATTATCGCACAAAGCACGAACTCCAAAGCTTTGACAAAGATCCCCAGGTACCCCCATAAAAATACACTCAGGAACTGAATGAAGCAGCTATGACACGAACTTATGACCTTCAGATCGGTAGAGCGGTTAGCGGTCTGCTGACAGTGTCGCACAAAGCACAAACTCCATAGCTTTGGCAAAGATCCCCAGGTATCCCCATAACGTCTAATGGCTGGAGCAGCCATGACATGAACTCGTGACCTTCAAAGCACGAGGCATATGGCTTGACCACTTCGCCAATCTGAAATAAAATATCAAGGCCAGCAAATGATTATAATGTAGTAATACATTATTTGAAACGCTAACTTAAAATGTCCCACTATTAAAAAAATAAATGACATCAAAATAAGAAACAAAATTAACCAAACAATTCACCTGCTCAGGTATACAATTTTATTGCAGAGGGAATTAAAATAAATAATTTATTACACACGCTTGCAAGGCAACTTTGAAAGCATTTTTAAGCATCCATAAAATATGGAGCTGGGAGGGTGGCAGAGCACTGCAATAAGAAAATTAGTAAACATTAAAATAGGGTAAATTAAAAAAGTGAAGAAATCGACAGTTTGAAGAGAAATATACCCAATACAATTTTCCAAGCCTACACCTAATTTCTCTAATTAATTGTCGGGTTTCAGTTGTTCCTGGCAAACTTTCGTAACAAACTTTCTTTACTGTGAGTTGTCTGAGAAGATGCAGGTGATAAAAGTTGACTGTTACAACATCTCCCAACACTGTGACCCAGTATATTGCATTCATCTTTCCTGTGTGGGTTCCGGGGTCCCATTTGGAAAGGGGAGGGGAAAATAGAGCCGCTGCCCCTCCCTAACAAGCATGTGGTAATAGGCCACTTATTAGGGGTCTGTTTTCTTTGAAGTCAGAGTGCATCTGACTGAGAGCGAGGAATCAACAGTCTGCTTTTAGATAAGTAAGATCTTTAAAATGGATATGCACACAAAACTTAAGTTCTGGAACAAGACCAACATACAGAAGTGGATGAACAACCAGAACTTTCTGTTGTAGTATAGAGTAGGTCAGTGCCAAGAATAAAATGATAAGCATGCATCTGCAGTAATGTTTGTAAAGGAATGTTTTTTTCCATTAGTTGCCACCTATCCATCTTTCCAGAGGATGAGGATAGTGTTATTTGTGTTATAGGGAGGCATGAGCATCATTGTGTAACCAGCAAGACCCGCTTGCTTTAGGAAAAGCTTTCCATAGTTAGGACATAAGATATCAGAACTAGTGTTCCTTCTTCTCGATATCACAAAGCCTGGGAGTTAGGATGTAAGTTATCAGAACTAGTGTTCCTTCTTCTCGATATCACAAAGCCTGCGAGTTAGGATGTAAGTTATCAGAACTAGTGTTGCTTCCTCTCGATATCACAAAGCCTGGGTAGTTTTGCAGATACCATGCAGGATGATCCCATGCTTGGCCTGCCTTTGTAACCCCAATAACCCCAAAAGAGAGGTAACAAGTACCAATTTAAAACATGCTAACATTTTATACTTTAAGAAAACCAAGCAGCAAAGATGTAAAAATACCATGTAAAGATGGGAAATCCTCCCTCTACTATGATGATCAGAAGCGACTTCCAAAACCTGAGACACCTCTTGTGAAGAAGGGAGAAGATGCTAAAGTGAAGCCTGTTGAGGAGGAAAAGCAGCTGACTGAGGAGGAGAAACTTCAGCTGGAGGAAAATAAAAAGCGAGAAGAGGCAGAGGAGAAGCAAAGAAAGGAAGAAGAAGAGAAGGTACTATAATTATTGTTTTTCTGTTTTAAAATATAGTATTTATGGCTAAGAAAAGGATTTTAAATGGATACTTTTTTAAAGATGAATGCGTATAATTCTACATTGATCCTAATAAAAGTCCTGGAAAGCTTGCCAATGCCAATTGTCCAAGAAAAATTCCAAATTTGATCCTCTTTCAGCTGCCCAGAGGCCTGCTATATCGAAGAAGGGTCCTTAGCTGTCTTATATGATTTCCTTTTATTTGTGGTGTGTAGACACACCTGATATTAGGGTTGTTTGCTTCCTTGCTGTGCTGCGGTGATTGTAGTTTTGGGTTCTGGTGTGATCCAGATCTCTTTGCGGTGATATTGACGAGTACTAGCTGACTGTTGCTGGCGCTTGGCTTGCCTCGTGCCGGTAGCTGTGCTGGTGCCCTGTTGCTGCTTGGTTGCCGATCTGTAAGCCGCCGGAAAAAGCCAAACAAACATCCGTTGCGCCGTGATGAACAATGTTCCTTTTCAGGACAAACAGGGCCGTCACAATCTGTTGTTGTGATCGGCCCGTTTTTTTTTTTTTTTTTTCCACTGAGTGTGGAGAAGTAGTGGAGGTAAGATAGACTGCAAATGAGAGATCAGTTTGCCCGAATGTGCCAGTAGATGTGATAGTAAGGTCGGGAGAATGAGAGTGACAGATAGAGGTAGGATCCACCCTGGTCGGCTGAGGTCACCTGGTCTGAAATAAAATTGAAAGGCAATTGTTAACATACACGTGGGGTGGGGTGGCATGAGGGTGACTGGAATTCCCAAGTGCTGGTCCCCTTAGGTGCAATGCCCTCGGCTATCTGCTTCGGTGCGTCGGGCGGCCTGTGGTATTTTCCTTTGTCTTCTTTTTTCTGAAAATAAACTAGATTAAGATTTTGGTTAGTTCAATGGTGATTACGTGGTTATTTGCCAGTGGGGCGGAGCGGGTGGGAGTGGCTCCGGTACGTCGACCTGATGTCCGGTTGGTGGTTGTTTGTTTTGGCCTGTCCGTAAAGATGGCGGCTTGTTTGGTGGGCTCTTTCTGTGGCTCTTTAGAATTGGCGGTTGCCTCTTCTATTCTGCTTTTTCTTTGGCGCCCGGAGCTGGTCCAGGGCTGCGTTTAATTCGTCGCAGAGTCGGTCAACTCTCTTGCTCTTTTCAAGCAGTTCAGGTGTTTCGCCTTCATCTCCGTATTCCTCGAAAGAGTAGCCGACAACGTAGCGTTCGATGTCATCGAAATACTCCAGCGTGTGCGGAGCCGCCTGCTTGTTGTAATCTTCAAACCTCGCTTTAAGGTCGTCGAAGCTAGTTATTTTGGCTGCTGCTGTTTGGCTCACGCGTGGGGTGGCTGGCAGTCTGATGGGTGCCTCGCTTCGTTTTTCGATTGTCGTGGCATCTGTCATCTGTGCCTGGTGTTGCATCATTACAGTTTCGGTAACTGTGCTTTTGTCGGCTTTGTTGATTAATGGCTGCTTTACAACTTTTCTGGAAGCCTCTCTTTCTTTCTGTAGCAGGGCAAGCTCGGTTCTTGCCGCCAGCACTGCTGCTTCGGCTCCTGCCTTTGCTTGGATCATGAGGGCGACTTCTTTATAAGTGCTTTGTCGGGCTTCCTTAAGTGCTTCGGTTTCCTTTCTTCTCTCCTCCCTTTCTTCTTGTCGGCGGGTCTCGTCTGCAGCTTTTTCTGTTTGTAATTTTATTGTCATTTCTGTCAGATTTTTCTGCATTTGTGCAGCCTCTGCTAGCCACTTTGTTTGCTGCGATACTTGTTCTTGTCTGTTGTCTTTCAAGGCTTTGATTTTGTCACGCATCTGCGAAATCAGGTCTAGCAACTGGGTTCTGTCAGCGTTGGTATCGGCAGCGTCAGATTTTTCTTTGCGGAGAGCTCTGATTTCAGCTAAAATTTCGGCAATTTGTAGTGAGATTGCAGGGTCTTTTGCTGCTGTGATCGTCTTGTCGGTTCGTCTGTCTGATGTCCGTTGTGCTGGCTTCCCACTCGGTTGCTTTGGTGCTGCTGAGGACCTGGGTGCCACGTATCTCTGTCTAGCTGCTTTATGGGCGGTTCTAAGTGTCCTCTTGCACTGCTGGAGATACGAGCAGCCCATGTATCTCGCGCCGTGCGCACCGGAACAGTTGGAGCACTTGCGGTTGCTGTTCGGTTTTTTAAAATTAGTGTCAATTTTAGCCAGCGGGCACTCCTTGAATTCGTGCGCACCAGAACAGTATCTGCACGAGAGGCTGCTGCGGCAGGACGAAGCTGTATGCCACGCCCTATTGCAGCGCGAGCACTGCATGATGTCTGGTGTGCTGGTCTCAGGCTGCCGCTGCATTCGTTGGCGATGGGGTCCTTGCGTCGCTACTGAGGCGGCATCAGGCACCCCTGAAGGGTCGGCTCCCGGAGGAGCGGCCCTCTGTGTTGGTGAAACTGGTGTTTCAATCGTAATGGGCGCAGTGTCCATTTTCTACGGCGATTATAAAAGTTCTCGAATTTATTTAGAGGTTAAACGCACCCCCTAGGTTTTGGTTTATAATGTAAATTATAATTACCTAGGGCGTTGTTCCTTCCTCTGTTGATTCTCAAATACACTGGTCACCGGTGTAGATCTTTGTTGCTGGTAGTTGTCGTTGGCTAGGTGCGTACACGGGCTGCTAATGACCCACCCGCAGCCGACTCCGATAGTTTAGTCGAGACAGACTCAGCCGAATATCAAGCGAATCTGTCCAGTAGCTAGCTATCGAAAATCAGGCAACGAATGGATAGTTAGCGGGCAACGTGATCAGGTGAGGCGGGCTTGAGCGTTCAACGTCTTGCTCGGGCGAAAGCTGTCAGCGAACTGTGTGCAAAGCTTGGTCTATTGTATCTTAATAAATAAATTCTCTTTGCCTACCTGCCTGCTAGACTTCCTGTCTGTATGTTTTCATCTTCATAATATAAAACTGCAGTAAAATGAGTAACCATGAATGCACTGTCTGAAAAAGGCTGCAGAATTGAAGCGATAAAATCAAGAATTAAGTCAAAGGATATAAATTTGACACAGAACCTTTACAAAAAAAGAGAGCAAATGAAATTATTTAAACATTTACAGAAAATGACTTAAGGCACTATACAAGACAAGGTAGATCCCAAAAGAAGAGATTGAGTCATAGCATGAGGTAGACCAAGAGCAAGAGAGAAGGATAAAGTCAGAGAAACTCTCCACCAGTAAAATGTGTTTATGGCTGAAATCGCAAGAAGAACCTTATATCTGACATCTGAAGTGGTAAAAAAGGAAAGGTAGAAGAAATTAGAAAAAAAAGAAACCTGCAGTAGCATAGTAGTTATGCTTGTCAGTTAAGATGTACATCTGTGTTCAGTCTCTAACAAGGCATAGATCTTCTGTGCAGGACGTGATGACATGATTTTGATTTTCCCTTAAAAAATGTTCAGAGCTCAAGATTGTCTGTCAAGCCCACATAAAACCTTTCTTGACCTCATTTGGGGTCACAGCTCATAAGTTAGGAATCCCTGCCCTAACAGATGAAGAATTTTCCCAAGCAATACAGCTTTGAGGTGTCAGGCCTAGGCTCATCACATAGATAATAGATTCTTTTGAGAATTCTCTGGGAATAGACTGGGGAGGAAGATGTTGAAGAAGGGAAAAGGCTAGCCTACCTCATTGTTCAATAGCCTAAGCCTAGAATTTGTAAAGGCCTAATACTTCACAAGGAAAAGAGAAAGATAAAGATGAAAAACTATTAAGTAGTACACCCCATTAGGTGGCAAATACAGGGATGGACAAAAAGGAGAAGATATATGGGTTGTTTAGCAGATATCATGTCATTATAACTAATGACCCAGGCAATAGATAGCTGTAGTCATTTTAACAACAATAACAAATGGTGGTATGGTTTATATTCGTCATCGTGTAGCAGGTTCTTTGCAGAAAGCCGCTCTCATCACAACCTGCCCGAAAGAAATTGTCAGATTTCCCACCTCATATGCCTTTCTACCCAAGGTTCACCTATATCCTGTGCCCATCTTTGGGCTGGTTTTCCGTCGCCCGCCTTTTCTGGCACCATGCCTTCTGCAACTATTCTTTCCAGTCCGCTGTGGCACTTGCTATGGCCAAAATATTTCAATTTCTGAGATAAGATGCGGTTTACTAGCCAGTCTTCCTTGATATTCAGATTTTTTAGGGTGTCTTAACTTTTCTTTGGGTCCATGGTATTCTAAGAATCTTGTGGTTCTTGTTGGTTTATAGAAAAACAGTCATGTAACTAGATTTCACTATTGACAGCCTGGCTGCTTTTATGTTATGTAGAAAAAACTGTTATAGGAGGGAGTTATTGATAAGGTATATGTAATGATTCCCTTTATTGTTGCAGAGGAAGGCTGAAGAAGAAGCAGTAAAGAAGAAGGAGGAAGAATTGGTAGGACGTGTATGCTTTTGATATTAGAGATCTGTTTAATGACTATTTTCTGTTATATTTCTGGTGTATTAGAATCTGCATCGAAGTGTGCCTATGACAGTACATTATAGAATCTACATCAGAATGCTGTATACTTATTATAGATTATTTCAATTGTCTTTCTCTGGTTTGTGCAGTCTTGTGGATTTTTGTATTAAAAAATATGATACACTCCCCTTAGATTCTAGGGTATTAGATGTACATCTAGCATTTTCAGATCTTGGCAAAAGTCTTGGAAGATTCATGGGCAAGTTGTGCATGGTAAAAATCCTCTGCTGTTGGAAATTAAAAAGCGAAGGTAGAATATGTTGCTGTCAAAATAAAAATAAATAACAACATCTACACGTGAAGAGAATTTTGGTACATTTGTAATTTTGGTATACACACATTTGGATCCCTGTCAGTGTTATGGAGCTCAAGTACTGTGCTGAGAGAATTACCTCTGCCGTTGCCAATCCCAAGTCAGGATGAGAACGGAGGAGGGTTGGCCATAGGACTAACTGCACTACCTTGTTTTAAAAAACCCACATAATTAGAAGCTATTCCAGATAGGATTTATATAGCTCTTGAGAATTCTTTCTTGTCTCCAGTTGACAGTGAAAATTGTCTGGGAATACATGCCCTTGTGAAAATATGGACAAAAACTGTAACAAACAACAGAGACAACGTTGAGAAATACATTTTTTGAAGTTCAAACTTGGATCTACATTTCAGTCTAAATCTAATCTGTTTTCTTGATTATTAAACTGCAATTAAAAATTATGCAGCATTACGTTTTGACCGTCCATCCTTTGTGGGCAGTCAGTTTTCTTCATAAATCAGTTTCTGCCCTCAGTTTCTGCCATCTTCATTCTCTTTTAATCTGTCCAGGGTATTCTCATCATTTATGTATAAACGTTTCAAATGTGTTTCCATTAATCGTCCATCTGTCCATATATTAGGATAAGATTTATATAGCTCTTGAGAATTCTTTCTTGCCTCAATTGACAGTGAAAATTGCATAGAATATAGTTTTTTTTATAGACATATCAGAACTTGATGGGTAATATTGTCATTATCTTCGCAGAATCTATCCTGGTACCCATTAGTAGGCAGCGGTGATTTTGGTATAAGGTCAGTTCTGTTTCACTAGGGATTCAGAGCTGTGACTTCCCCTTGTTGATTCCAGGGTCCCAATGTGGGGGAAAAGAATAGACCCACTAAGGCGATAATCGGGGGGGGGGGGGTTCCTTTCAAGTCGGAGTACATCTGCCTGAAAGGTGGGGAGCCGCAAGTCTGCATACACATAAGCCAAATCTGTATAAAGGGCGTGCACCCAAAACTTTAGTTATAAAACAGGACTAAAGTCCGGAAGGGGACGAACAACCAGAGCTTTCTGCTGGAGTTTACAGCTAGTGAATGCTAAGAAGCAGAAGAAGAAGCTGTGACTTCTTGGTTTGACAGGCAAGCATGCTAGACTGTGCTACTGCAGTTCCATAAAGTATGCATACAATAAAATCAAAATTGGGCAGTCTCCATACTGGAAGTTGGCTACAGTGTATCCACTGTGCTGTGGAAATATTACAAGTGAGGTCCCAGTATCTTCCTTGTACCACTATCTAAAATCGACAAGTACAGTCTCTTGCCAGACCCTGCACTGTGTGAATCAAACCCTGTTAAACGTCAAGGATTGCATTATGGAACCATTTTTCTAACCTCTAAACAACAGAGGTATAGTTCTGACTTGACAAAAAAAAAATTTAATTTGAATGCTGTATGTGTTGAAATAGTTCCTCTTTTGTTCCAATCTCTAGAAAATGCTCACTGACTACATAACAGAGACTGCAGACAGGATTAACAGCAAATCAGAGGCGAGGGTGATAAACTTGGCAGCTCCAGGTAATACCAGCTCCTGTCTAACACACTAGGCTTCAGAATTATCCCTTTCACCCCAGAAATTCATGGATGAAAAAATCACGAATCTAGGAATTCCAGAACAGATCTTGTGGAAACAACTAAATTAAATATATGGAGGAAAATAATCTATAACGGAATAGACAATTAAAAGAAATTAATAATAAAGATCCATTTTTATCACAAGAGCTTGTCTGTCCATGTAAATCATAAAGCAATCACAAGAAGAAGAAATATAATCATATCTGGCCCTCCTTAACTCTGCGTAGGCGCAGTCAGAACCAGCGCCATTTACTAGTCTTGTCAGGGACTGCCCACTACAGCGAAACGGATAGATATGCCTCACAGGAATTTGTAACAGATGACAAAAGCTGTATATTGGCGTCTAGAGGTGAAAGGGTAGAAACTTAATTTTCTGGAGGATCAAAGCCAACCAACCAACCATCTTTATATGCATCACATATTGGAGATGCATAGAGTATAGCACCTTCATGGTGATTTGAAAATCACTAGGCTAGAATTAAGTTAACAGGTATGTGACAGAAGTGTCTTTTGTCACCTTAACTATTTTTACTGGCAGTAAACTGGATTATGAAGATATCTTAGGGAATAAGTAACCAACTTAGGCTCAGATCCGCCCAGCTACACTCGTATGAGTGACGAAGTTAGGCCAGGACGCTGATTAGACGTTTATTCCTGCATGTTGACCTTTGAGACGCATAAGTTTAAGTGGCAGGAATGTCAGGTTGGTGCGACGTTATATTGTCTCGGCGGTCTTACCGGCGACCACGCGTGCTCTGTATTACAGGATGTGAGCTGTTTTAACGACCTCATAACATATACAACTGGCCCTAACCGACCCCACCTCACACACTGAACCTAGGTCCCTGAGAGAGTGCATTCTACACACCTCTAACATAGACCAGACTTACCAATAATCAGTCAGCTAGTGTGGAGCTGGGCCTGAGTTCATTGCTTCATCCCATGGAAAGAAAAAAGACAGCAACTGCTAAGACTAGGAATGGAATTCATTGATATTTCTCTTCTGTCCCTGTCGTATAATAAGATGCAAAATAAATTAAATATACTTGATCACAACAGCTAGGTTTGAAAATCCATAAGGAAAAGACAAAGATAATGACAATAAATCAAGCAAATTTTAATGTGGTTCTTCTTAATAGTATTCTACTCCAAGAAATAGATTCTTACACCTATTTGGGCAGGAATATAGATAAAGATAGGGGAACATAGAGATATTAAAATACAATACAAAGGGCAAGTGGAGCTTTCATAGCACTAGGGAATTTGTGGAGGTCAGAAGAGATTAAAATAAATACTAAACTTAACATTTTTAGTTAAAATGTCATATTAGTACTGTTGTTTGGAGCGGAAACATGAAGAACAACTAAGGAAATTACTAATAAACTATAAACATTAATTAACTGGTTCCTTCACAGAATATAGTGCATTAAATGGTATGATAGAATCACAAATGTAGATCTTTGGGAGAGAGCTAAACAAGTTCTAGTGGACCAAGAGATGAAGAAATGACACTGGCATTGGATAGGACACATCTTGAGAAAACCTAAGAACAATATAACTAGAATGTTTTTGTATTGGAACCCACAGGGACATAAAAATAAAGGAAATAAAGGAAGACCAAAAAAAAAAAAAAAAAAGCTAGAGAGTGAGGCTAAATAGACGGGGAGAGCTGCATGTGATAGCAAAGGATAGAATGACTTAGCCTGAGTTGGTTGAGGACCCATGCTCCATTGGGGGTAAGAAGGCAGAAGAAGAAGAATTAAGTTTAGAACATAATTTTCAGAAGTCTTTAAAACAGTGGTTCTCGACCTTCCTAATGCTGCGATCCTTAAATACAGTTCCCCATGTTGTGGTGAGCCCCAAACATCAAATTATTTTTGTTGCTACTTCATAACTTCACAGAATTTTAGTCTCCTGATGGTCTTAGGCGACCCCTGTAAAAGGGGTCACAACCCACAGTTTGGGAACTGCTGTTTTAAAGGGATCCAAATGATGTTGTATTCTTTCTACCTCTGGGTACTGGAGTTAAAGGTTCAGGTCGCGAGGATTGATTTCATTGCACCTGGTTTGATCCTATATGGCTCAGTCTCTCTCTGCAAAATAGCTAGCTGCCTGTCGCGAACATCGCACAGAGCATGATCACCGTAGCTCCAGCGACGATCCTCGGGGATATCTATAAAAACTCTACTCGCAAAATGAACGGCTCAGCCGTGAAATGGACCCATGACCTTTAGAGCACGAGACAGTTGGCTTGACCACTTCACCAGGGAGACCTTTACTGGATTAAAAAAGTAACCTTCTCTGAAAAGGGTGAGAAAATGGGCAGTGTCGTGTGTTTGTTGTGGGCATTTTCAGTAGCTGAAATATTTAAAAAATAGACAGTTGGGGGTTCCTCTAGCCCCCCCCCCCCCTTCCCCCCCCCGCAAAAAAAAAAATTTGTGGCGTATTAATCGAGTTCTCAAGCATAAAGAAATTGTTCCAAAACTAGCTGTGGACTTATATGATGGGTATAAAATGTGTTAGGCTTAACTCAGAATTTTGAGATAAAAATCTTGAGGTTGACATAAATGCCACAGTTTACGGTATATGTTTGAGTTCTGGACGTGGTGAATGACTACAATGGTCTTGTGCTAAAGATATAACGATTCACCATTGTAGTTGAGAGTCATAAAGCCATATGGCTGCTGCTGTGGCAAATATATAAAACTCAGTCAAGAATCAGTGTTTATTGTTTTTCCTTATTCTGGTGTTGAGACCATCATTGGTACTGTGCTGATTTTGCACTGAGTTAAGTTGCTTCCAGTGTGATCTAAAGGAAGAGTTTACAACATTCTTGGATAGTTTCCAGTGATGTAGTTGGTCCATGAATCCCATATTTTCAAGTTGAAATTTGTTTAGCCTTAGAGTTGTAATGTTTTAAATTCATTCCATAGCGTATAGTATGAGAAATATGTTTCCCTTTTTATTTGACAGAAAACCGACCAGATGAGTCCTTTTTTGGTAAATTGGACTCCAGCTTAAAAAAGAACACAGCTTTTATAAGAAAACTGGTAAGTTTTTTGGGCTGAAATATTTGAGGTTAACTTCAGTTATGTGAGCAGTTATGTTTGCACAACTTTTTTGCATTGGTCCTTAAAAGGGTGGTTGACGTGTTGTGTTGTGTATGACTAGGCTGCGATATTTGCCCCTTTTGGTCTAACATATCCAGTTTCATTAAATCCCCAGTTAGATGATATTAATGACATGCTTGTTGAAGTACTGGTTGGGAAGTGAAGTTAGCCATCATGGCCATATGACTCATCACATGCTGATTGGTCAAAAAAAAATATATAGGTCTGACACCGTATACCGTTTATAGGCTTCTTCTTTAAGAATTGCCTGAAAGGGATTTGCTTTCACTTACTTGTCTTCTGCTTTAAAGTGTTCAGTGAGGGAATTAATGAATCAAGACTTGACATTACTGCACCACATTTGCTTCCGCAAGTGTTAAGATAGTGTAACTCTATTCTGCTTTCTACATCTCAGCCAATAGAATTGTTTGTAAAACTGTCTTTGCTCGGCCCTCTGTCACTTTGCTTTTGATGTTGACACTCGTTCAGTTGTGTTGATATAGAATGTTTTTTAAATTTATTTATGAAGTGCTTCAAGTGGAAAATATTGACAAGCAGTTTCCGGTAAAGATTAAAATGGCAGTAAATATTTTGTTCCAGATCAATAAAGCTTTGATGCTGCCATTGTTATTGCGCTGGTCTGCCAACACAGCTAGTGTTTCATCTCCAAATTTGGCCAAGTTGCATTTCTTTTGATCAATATCGCCATGGAATTGACCCAGCCTCTTATAAAATTGGTAGCAGATATTTCGGCAAATAAAACTGGCTAGCGTAATTAGTCTTTATGCACGCTTGTTCGCAGAAAATATTAACCTTAGCTTACCCTCCCAATGTACCTATCTTGTATTCTTCTTCTACTTGTGATCACATCTTTAATGATAATACCCACAAGCTGGTTCTTAAGGTGTTTGTAGTTTGCTTTCACCGGCCGGAAACCCCGACGGAAGGTCCTGATTGTTCGTCCAAATTGAGTCTTCGAGTTTATTCCATGACCTGAGTCTTGCGAGTGCACCCGTTTTACAGATCTGGCTTAATTGTCTATGGAGTTTTGGTCTCTTGTCTTGCAGGCAGATGACGCCGACTTCAAAGAAAACAACCCTAATTAGGAGTCTCCTGTGTTGTGCTTATTAGGAGGCACTGGGTCCGTTCTCCCTCCCTCCCTCCTCCATCCCCCAGTGGGGCTCTGGAGCTCATGTTGGGAGGTTCTTGTGCTGAATTTAACCATTTTTGGGAGTTCTTCTACAGGTTCCAGGTAGCTTTTATTGGACACACATAATTTTTACCTACTTTTACCTCACAATAAATGAAAGAACTTTTACAAATCGTTGATACATGCACATATTACATTTTTACATTTGTTTGACTTTGCAGAGGAATCTGACAGAATCTCAAAAGATAAGTCTTTCAAAGGAGTTGCTGGGTTTGAATCTGACAAAGTACATTGGAGAAGTGGTAAGGTTATAACTTATGTTAGATATTATTGTCATTAAATATTGTTTTCTAGTTGAGTTTACTAATTTAGCTCATTATCCCAGTATACTGTACCCATAGTTGACACTAATGTACACACTAGACACGTGGTCCACTTTCCTGTACCCGTAATTGACACTAATGTACACACTAGACACTTCGTCCAGTTTCCTGTACCAGTAGTTGACACTAGTGTACACACTAGACACGTGGTCCAGTTTCCTGTACCAGTGGTTGACACTAATGTACACACTAGACACTTGGTTCAGTTTCCTGTACCAATAGTTGACACTAATGTACACACTAGACACTTTGTCCAGTTTCCTGTACCAGTAGTTGACACTAGTGTACACACCATTTTCCCAATCTTCTTTTTTAGTGATTGACACTAATGTATGCCCTAGACACTTGGATCATTCTGCTGTTATAGTTTACCAATTATTGACTTTAGTGTACACACAAGACATTTGACCCCTTCTCCTGATCTTCTGTACCAGTGATTGGCACTACTGGACACTTGGCCCATTCTTCCAGTGTTCTGCACCATGTATGACACATATGTTAGATACTTTACCTTTTCATCTAAACGAGTGTAGTGATGATTGGCATTGATATGCACATTAAATTGGTCCATTCTCTCTTCCTGTTATGTCATTGTTTGACACCAAATCACACACTGTGTATCCTTTTTATGTAGGGGCATGCAGCTGTAAAAGATGATGAACAAACTGTGGCTTGCAGGGTAAGCTACTGTGCACCAGGCTGATATATTGAACACTCTCCCAGGAGTAAGATGTTAGTGATGACTAAATCCCCACTCATGGTCAGACTACAAGAAAATCCAGAATGTTGGTGAGGCCAGACAAGAGCAGGAAGCTAAAGAAGAAGAATAAACCAGCATAGATCTGATGCTGTCAGCTGCTACATGCAGTGGGGGTTTTCCGAGCAAATGTTGTCTGAATGGTTCGGTGTGCAGTGAGGGTCATCTGTCAACTAATTACTAACACACTCTAGACATGCTGTCCATTCATCAGGCCTAGACATGCTGTCCATTCATCAGGCCTCAGTTGACAACTTTCTAGAGGATAATGTTATACTATGCTATAGGGATCCATGGGACTCGCAGCCCATGGCAGTGGCTAGGATGACTAGCAAGACCCGCCAGCATTAAGAAGTCTTCCACAGTTAGTAAATGTGATTTCAGAACTGTTGTTGCCTTTTCATGAATTTAACGTCTCAGACACTCAACTCTCAAATTTTCTGCAGTCTTTTTCTTCCTTTATTCCCATTCCCTTCCTGATTTTCCTCCCTCCCTGCAACACGGCCAGTGGCATTTTGTTGCTCTGAATCTACCCCATTACCTGTATCAGTCATGTCCTGCTTGCACACATCTTTATATTGTAGTAGAAGCTGACCAAAATATCCTCTGCCCATCATTAGGCGATTATACCAATAAATGACACTCAAATATCAGATGGGTTGCCTCTATGAACTCGCTTTTCAGCTGCAGGTCCTTCATGGTTCCCCATAGCTTGCTCTGCACACTTTGCTCTTGGGGTCAGGCGTCTTTTCGAAGTTATAGGTAGAGTGGGTAGGTCTGCAGAATGTCGCTCAGGTGTTTGTGGTCCTATCTGTCCACTGTTTGACTGAAAGCGCAAATCTTTATTAGGGCAGACAAATTTGCCATGCTGGAGAGGGATGGAGTGTGCTGATCAGAAGTGCAGATAGCACGGTATATACTCACAGCTCACAGTCAATATGCTTTTTCTGCTGAATGCAGCAGAAGAAAAAGGAGCAGTTTTTAATTCTTCAGCAATAAATTATTGTCTTTGTTTTTTCTTTCTTTTCCCCCAGGCCGGTGCAATCATTGATGCTAAAATGAAGATGTCTGACGTTCAGTGTGCTATCCATATTTGTAGCCTTCTGCACCAAAGATATGCAGATTTCAGCCATTCTCTCATTGACATGTTCAACAAATACTTGCTTTCTAAAAAGGATGAAAAGGTAAAATAATTCCCAGCAGTCTCTTAGTTTTCTTGCTATCTTTAGCTAGCCTTATGTTATTAAGAATAAGTAATTGCTTATGTGTGCCCTTTATGATTAAGATACTTGCATTATTCTTCAGAACATATCACTCTCACAAGGAATGTGTTTTGGCCCATATGGAAGTAAAACACCTATGAGTTTGGTGCTAATTAAGCCTTCTCAGATACTGACTAGGACCATCTGAAACTAAAAGAGCTTAATTAATCAGCAATCGACTGGTGATGTGGTCAGTATCTCACCGACTGTTTTTACTACCCAGCAATTTTCCTGCTGTCCATTTTAGAATAATACCTTTAGAGCCCAAATCAGTGAGCTTCTCATTCTTCAATGTTCACTGGCTGTAAACTCCAGTGGAAAGTTCTGGCTGTTCGTCCATCTCTGGACTTTAGTCTTGTTCCAGAACCTGAGAGTTGATTGTACATCCATTTTAAAAATCTGGCTTTTTTTGTATTCAGACTCTTGGTTCCTTGCCTCTTTGGCAGGCGCACTCTGACTTCGAAGTAGGCTGCCAATTAGTCGACTCATGGGACATGCTTATTGAGAAGACTATGGGTCTATTTTTGTTTTTCCCGCAGTGTGGCCCTGGAACCCACATGGGGAAGTCAGTGAGCAAAATCAACATTTCAGAAGAGAGTAAAACTCACCAGTAAGCAGTTGTGCTGGCCACTGCTCTTTCACGGCTTCCTTTAGTTTGTGGAGTACTCAACCGTCCGTTCCTAGGGACCATGGAACTGTGCTGCTGGTTTTGGGAACAGGATCTACTGTGATGTTTGGCAATGCTGGAGAGACCTCTCCAGGCCTATTCTCCTCTTTTGGGAGATGAAAGGGTGAAGATACAAATACATGAAGTTCTGTCTCCATTCTCTTCCAGTCTTACATGTTCAGGCCTGAGCACGTTGAATTGGAGTACAGGCTGTTGCCCAGGCAGAAGGTACCTCCTCTGTATGTGTGATGCCAAGGGAAAGGCAAATGTCAGTGCAGCTTAGAGTTTTGTGGACTGATTCAAACAGCTTTTAGTTTGTGTCTATCAGATGGACCAAGTTTATATACTTGATTTAAGGAAATCTTACAAAACATCAAACATGAGAAGACTTCCCCAGGCCTTGGGGTCAGCAAGGAAACATCTAGCCAGTTGCCATGGCTCCCAAGATGATAGGTATAGTAAGCAGTGAGCTGCAGTTCTGTTGTGGGACTGTTAGTGTTGTCACATCTAATAGCTGCCTTATGCATTTACTTTGTATGTGTGAGCTTGAAGATTAAGCTGGAGTTGGCATGTTTGAAATATTTCTTTTTTTAAAACTAGTTTTTCATATGGGGCAGTGAATGACATTGTAAATGATATCCACTGAGAAAGCAATGGAGTAATTATGGGACAACTGTCTGCAGTGAAGTTGGACCCTCAAGTAATGACTAACACTTTAAGTGAAATGAACTTTTATTATCATTCTGAAAACTAAACTTTTGATTCTGAACAGATCAGCAATGCAAGCAAATACAGGGTTGATCTCAGATTTCTAGGAGAGCTGATTGCATATGGAGTCTTCACAGCTAAGGAAGGGCTACCTGTTCTAGCCAATCAGCTGTCAATCTTGGTGAATTCTGACAGAGATGAGCACAACTACCTGCCAATCATCATTAGCTTCTGCAAGCACTGTGGAGATGATTACACTGGTATTTTGCCCAGGAGGTTCCGGTGAGTTGTCTGTTATAATGCTTGGTTTTGTTGGGTTCTCAGTGTCTGTGGCTTAGGTTTCATGAACGTACTTTCATAATTCTGATACGCTGAGTTCGATTCAGCTGTAGGTGATTTGGCGACATGCTGTTTTAAAAATTAGCTATTTAGAACATAGAACTAAGAACTATGTAGGAGAAAAAATAAACAAATTCGCAGGACACCAGGAGCCTCTTTTGGCAGTGGTGAGAAATGATTCAATTGCAAAGACTGTACTTCAAGGAACATTGGGGAGGGTGGGGGTGGTGGTCAGAGAAGAGAAGGGCAAAGAAGAACGTGAAGTGACATCAAGAAATGGACAGGACTGAATTATTAAACGCCTGTTCAACATGTGGAAGACAAATAAAGATGCTGGTTTTGTGGGCTGGTGCTTCCATCGATACACCTCCACATCCCTAGTGAGTGGGTCAAGGTTGATCTTATGTTATGTTATTTTCTGTTGTTTTGACAATGGTTTGGTGCATCTGCGTTGACTGTTCAAAAAGCAATGGCAAAACACTGATGTACAATTGCCCAAACATCCAGCAAATGTTGGGGTTGGTTTGTGACATCATGTAAGGCAAGTGTAACTGACTTAAGTTTGGTTAATGAAGGATCATTTGTATTACACACAGATATCTTCATAGGTTAAACCTAATGCATGCTTCGATGTTATTTTGTGACAGATTGATGTATTGCCATCGTTATTGTCAAAATTTATATTGTCATACAGCTTTTATTGTAGCAAAATCACTGCCGGCTTCCTTAAAAATGTTGCCATGGAAGTTTGTTGAGAAAGCTACCCTTAACAGGTTTACCATGTGAGCACGCCAAGAAGGCACATTATGCATGCAGCTATGCTGAAAATAATCCTATCAACTTTAACTTCTTTAATTATTTAAAAAAAAACAACTGAAACTTACCAGACGTAAGAGGCGACTAAGAATTGGTTTGGGTCTGGTCAGCATGTCCCATAGACAAGTGCCAACTTTGGCTGTTAAAATCAAATCAGTTATAAATAAGTCTGTGCAATGCACTGCTTTTGGCAGCTCAGTGCTTGCATGCCTTATTCAGTGTACATTGATGAGAAAGCATGAACTTCAATACTGACAAAAATGTCGAAAACACAAAACAGCTAATACAGACTGTTTATTTTGTCACATAGTTGTCTTGTTAATCATTGTACTCCCAAAGTAAAAATGTCTAGGAGTGATGTAATAATCAAGTTATACATCTGAAAACCATATTATAGTTACCTTAAACAGGAGTACTCATGGTTGATTCTTGCACTCGTTGCTTATAAAAAAGGTTTGCAATCAATCACTTGTCATAGCAGACATTCCGGCAGCCTTTTCTAGATGATAAAACATGCCAGGATTCTCTGCATTTGTCGGTTGCTGGTACATACATTCACAGGTTCTTCCACCTACAGTTGTCCTAGCGCCATCAGAACTACATGTTTTTCTTTGCCATTTCAAATAATCTGTTCTATCCCCTGTGAATTCTTGAGTCTCAGTTCACACATTCTCATTTTCTCACACAACCACATACAGCTGCCAATGTCACATATTTCTTGGGTTTGTGACCGTCATCCATTCAACCTTTCGCACATAATTCAAATAATTTATGATCAGTAATCTGTATCATAATATTTTCTTACCAAGAAGAGAATTGATTGTTAGTCTATAGAGGTTTTGGTCTGAGTTGGCGGAGAGGCTGTCCTCTTTTGGGAGATGAAAGTGTGAAGATACAGGTACATAAAGTTTTGTCTCCATTTTCTTCCAGTCTTACATGGCTGCTTGCCTCTGTTCATCAGAATAATGGAGAGAAAATGTAGAAGGAAACCTTCAGACACGGAATTTACTAGCTAGAAAGATACTGCCAATCTCAGAGATAAAGGGGGTGAGTGATATGTGCAACAATGAGCTTCAAGGGTGGAGAAGGCTGGAGAAGCAGAAGTTTAATAAGAAAGCACCTACAAGGACCAGTCATTTGCAAATACTTATCCTCTTCACAACATGGTAGAGGTTGAAAGACTGGCTAATAATGAATTGTTTTATTTTTGTTAGATAACTTGCAAAATCTAAAGGAGATGTTCAAGTATTGTTTAAAAAAAATGCTCTTAATATCTTTTATTATCAAATATTATTTCTCTGGTCTTTTCAGGCTGTTATCAGAAATATATGGCATGGAGATTCCTAAAAGTCAGGTATGGTTCCGTTCCTGATAGTATTAGGGATTGTGCCGGTAATAGAATGTGTGTAAATAAGATTGTATAATATAGTATAATAACTGATGTTTGATATGAATGCTTTACAAATTCTATAGTAGCTGTTGTGTTACATAAAAGGTACAGAAATTGTATAGAGGTTGGTGTAACATCAAGGATATGCAGACTGTACATGGGGGTGCAGCCTGGAGCTGCGAGAAATGAACATTTCGCTAAGAGGACTAGACGTTTCGTTATTTAACACAGAACAGGTGTCATTAGTCATTTTACACTTATGGAGCTACTGGGGGGAAATCGGAGCACCTATGGATCTGTCTGGAGTGTTGTGATGATAATCTTTAATAATCACTAATCACTAATATGCAGACTGTTAGCCGATACAGTGTAAACATTTTATAATCTCACATTTCTGCGTTGAGATAGAGGTTTGTAAAATACAACGTTGCTGCGACGTATGTTTGTTGTTTGTTTGAATTCACCGCCTTTAAGCTCTGATGAAAAGTCTTGATTAGTTTGTCCAGTTCCGGGCTTTAGCTTTTTTCCAGGACCTGAGTTTTGTGTGTGCATCTGTTTTATAGATCTGTGCTGTCTGGTGTTTCTTTGTCCATCATGCCAACTTCAGAATAAATTTTGATCCTATTTCTATGATGACTGTAACCAATCCAACCCTTTGTTGCCATTTACTAGGACTTAGTCGACATCTATCTTCTTCTTCTTCTTCTTCTCGTTCACCAGCTGTACACTCTGGCGAAAAGTTCTGGTTGCTCGTCCACTGCTGAACTGCATTCCTGCTCCAGAACCTGAATGTTGCGTGTACATCAGTTTTACAGATCTCATTTTCTTGAATACACTGTTGGTTCCTTGCCTCTCCGGCAGATGCACTCCGACTTCAAAGGAAGCTCCCCAATTAGTCGACTCTTACGACATGCTTTTGGGGAGGCAGTGAGTCTTTTCTTGTTTTCCCCACAATGGGGCCCCGGAAGCCACACAGGGTTAGACATATATCTGAACCTTTGGTATTTAGTAAGAGACTCAGGCTGTGAGTTTCACTTTATGTACAGTGAGTTCTCTGTAAACACTGTCAGCCATATATTGGGGGGTGGGCTGATTATGCCAGAGGTTGTCAACTTAATCTTTGGAAACCACCAGCTCTGAGATTCCCTGCCAGATTGGCCAGGTCTGTAAAGCCAGCACAGAGAATTCTGGCACCCGAGATTATTACGATTTGTACACAACAAATTTAATTTTACCTTAAGTTTGTGATTGAAAACATTGCACCCCATTGCTGCAGTGAGAGCAAGGTTTTATAAATTTTATAGTAGCTGTTACGAATCAAACGTTTAGTGGTATTTTCTCATGATTGAATTTTGAGTTTTACATAAGCAGCCTTCATTTAAAAAGGATTCACAATTTCATAATTTTTAACAGAGTTTGTGAAAATTCTATAATTTCTGCAGCTTTTACATCCGGACAGACAGAAAGGTTGTCGGAATTTACTGAAAGATTACTTCAACTCTGTCGTAAAACATGTCACCAGTTCTCATAAGGAGCTAAAATCTATGGAAAGACAGAACCGCAAAATTATGCAGGTAATGATTTGTATGTGTTCCTCCTTGACTAATACACGCAAAAAAAAAAAAACCCCCATAAAAGCATGTCATAATAAAATTAAAGTCATAATACTTTTATGTAATCTTTGTCAATGAATGATTGTTAAATTGTAAACAGGTGAACATTTATTATTGGAGAAGGATTAGTAAATTGTAAAGAGGTGGACGTTTATTATTGGAGAAGGATTATTAAATTGTAAAGAGGTGAGCATTTATTATTGGAGAAGGATTATTAAATTGTAAACAGGTGAGCATTTATTATTGGAGAAGGATTAGTAAATTGTAAAGAGGTGGACGTTTATTATTGGAGAAGGATTATTAAATTGTAAAGAGGTGGACATTTATTATTGGAGAAGGATTATTAAATTGTTAACAGGTGGACGTTTATTATTGGAGAAGGATTATTAAATTGTGAACAGGTGAATATTTATTATTGGAGAAGGATTATTAAATTGTGAACAGGTGAATATTTATTATTGGAGAAGGATTATTAAATTGTCGGTAGAACGTTAATATTATATGGGAGCTGCAGAGACGTGGTTTTACAGATGTACAGATGAATGAAAAGAACATTGTGGAGAGATGTTGGGAGTAATTAAAAAAGAAACAAACTCATGAAGGTCATGATTACCAACATCACATGACATGGTCTACATGAAGAAGAGTGTCAAGACTTAGTGTTAACGAAGGGGTATTAAATTATCAGATGATAAGGCGGTCTGCTGCCAGCAGCTGGGATTGAACCGAGAACTCCGGTGTTATGAAGCCCATTCACAACGCCTAAGCCGCAAACACTAACACTGCTTGGTGTAAGACGTTAATTTATCATTATGTTTTGGGGCTCCATTTTAGAAAACAAAGGATAGACCCGCCCTCCTCACCACCCCTTTTCCCAAAACAAGCATGTTTTAGGAAATGACTAATTGGGGTGTTTTCATCAAAGTTGGTGTGCATCTGCCTGAGAGGCAAGAAACCAGCAGTCTGCATACAAAGAAACCAAATTTGTAAAATGGATGTGCATGCAAAACTCCATTTCTGGATCAAGACCAAAGTCCAGGAGGGGATGAACAACCAGACATTTCTGCCGGATTTTATGCCAAGAAAGAGAAGAATATCAATATATGCCTGTTGAGGCGGTGGTGAGAGCCAGAGTCAGGTCGACCTAGCCTCATAAAAATGTGCAGAGGACCATTTTCAGAATTGTCTAGGAATTGTCTGGTAAGAAGAGGCAGTGATGAAGGAAACAGACCACCCTACCCACAAGTTGTGGCCTAGAATGTGTGAAAACCCAACACTTCACATTTAAACAACAGTTTGTTGTAGGATTGCCTTTACTGTGCTAATTTGCTTTTAATTATCTAATTGTTTTCTTTTATTCAAACCCCCCTTCCCCCCCCCCCCCCCCCCACACACACACACACACGTGCACACGCAAGCACACTCGGCCACCTCACATCAAACCCTTATATTCTTTGCTCTTTCTGCAGCTGTGTTCATGTCTTTTTTGATATTAATAATCTTTGTTTCTATTTATGTTGTCCATTTTTAATTTAGCTTGAGAGGAAAGGTTTTCTAATTATACTAGTAACATGTTTTGTCCATCAGCAGGTTTCTCTCACCTCTTGGTTTGATTTGTTAGAATATGTTTAAGTCACTCCATGTTCCACGTTGCTGATTCTGTCACACAATACTTAATTCTTTTATTCCTTCTGTCTCCCCTTTAGAGATTAGACCCCCCCCCCCTCCCCTGGGTGCCACCCCCTCCCCTCCCAGCAAGCAATAGTTGTAAAAAGGCAACTAATTTTAGATTTACTGAAATTGGATGTGTTGGGTCAAAAGGCCCAGATACTGCAGCCTAGCTGTTAACCACAATACAACATGCCAGCTGCCCTTTTAAGGGCGAATGCAGATGAAAAGGAAGAATCCTTTGTTATTCACAGAGGTCCTTAGCCTCAGATACTCAAATACATAACAAGGCTAATGAAACAAAATGTTATCCTGTTTGAATGGTAATAATAAAAAGTATTACTGTATCATAGTACTTACACAGTCTTTAGTGCCATGTTCACTACAGCATTAAGTGTGGCGGTAATACTTTGACATGTGAAACTAAAATATGAGAAGCTCTGGTTTAATAAAAGCACTTGATTTTGTCCTTAGAGCAAAGGAGAAATATCCACAGAAAGAAAGGAGGCTTTTGAGCAAGCTTGTTCTGCCTTCCAGAAGTTGTCTTCAAGTGCTGCTGTTTTAGCTGTATGTATTTTTTCCCCCTTTGACATTTCATTGTGGGAACACTATAACAAAAATGGATTCTGGCCTAATTTGAATTCCTGAAAAAAAAAAATATTTGTTGAAACAAGTTTGTACAGGTCACTAATAAATTCGTTTTAAATGTGTTAATCTACATTTTAAAATTATTTTTCAAAATCTATAAAGATAAAGAAAAGAATTAATCAATAGACATGAACGGGGTGAAGCATTAAATGGAATACATCCCCTAGGTCTTAAGAAAAAGGAAAAGCACATGTATTGGTGACTCATGCCTTGATACCTGTGACCTCCATCATTGAGGCTTACAAGAAAATACCTCAGCTAAAGCCCGCCTCCCTCCCCTTCCCCTAAATGCTGTTGTTAGTTTATGTATTCATATCCTGACCTACTAAATGTATGCACAGAAGAGAAATAAGCCAATAGCATTAACTATTCATACTATAAACAGGTGGCTATAGTCAAGTCCAAACAAGTGACAGTTACTGGGAATTAGACCCAACCAGAAGTGTCTGTGATTTGGCTTTTTGGGCAGCAGGATTAATTTTTATTAGTGGGTCTGAGTGACTGTTGGTTGGTTGAGAAGCTTTTGAAATTTAGACAATAAAGGCACAACATATTGCATACTTAAATGCCTGAAATATTTTACGGGATCGTGTCCAGCGAATTACTACAAACTTTACATCAACATGTAATAAAGTACAAAACATGAATCCTTAATGTGTTTGTAAATGAGGGAAAAGGGGGGGGGGGGCGTGGGGAGAGAATACTTGGGGTGTGTTGACAGATATTTAAGAGAGGTGATACTTAAAAAAACAAACAAAAATGAAAACCACTGTTTTAGACAAACATAGATTTGACACAACAAAGGCAACACTTAGGCTTTTGCTGCCATACAGTTAATGACAGGTGTGGATTAAGGCTCAAAATCATCATCCACCCACTGCTAAAGTAAATTATTGTTGTCTCTACTAGGATTTGCTGGATGAAGATTTACCAGAGTTTCCACAAGAAGGTAAGTAGATTCTTCTTGTTATGTTGGCGTGTGAGGGATATTTTTCATACTTGGGAGTCATTTTTCTTGGATAATTAAGCTAATTCACTGTTATTTCAAGCACTTTGCTTTAGTTTGCAGCCGGTCTTAAAGGGAGGCTCTGTCTGGTTGGCAGAAAGAGCAGTGCTATTCTGATCAGGCAGTTTTTGCAGCATGCTTTGTTCCAAACTTATTCTTATTATCATTGCTTAGGAGCAAAACCAGTGAATGCAGAGAGGGATCATGCTGCATGGACAGCACAGTCTCTGTGATACTGGCCAGGTTTTCTGCTATGGAGAGGAGGAATTTTATCCGTGGTCTTAGCCCATAGCCGTGTGCTGTGATTGATATGCCTTCCTCTTGCACAATATAACTTTTGCCCGGAAAGAAGAAAAGGTGCAAACATCAACATTTCAAGGAACTTCCTAGAGTGTTAAGTCTTTTATTATGGCCAAAATATTTCAGTTGTTTCTCCTTTTTTGTTTTCTTTTTTTAAATAAAAATAAAAATTATTTCATAACTCTCTTTTCATTTGCAAATATTTCTAATCTTTGCTTCATTAATTTCCTAGATCCACACAAGCACTTTGCCAATTTTTTTTCATAATAATGATTTCTTTGGCAGAACTCAATGATGATGGCAGTAATGTCTTTGACATCTTCAACCCAATGAAAGATGCTGAGGTGAGTTGTTCTGATCACTCATAGAAACATCTCGCATTTTATTTTTGTTTCGTACCCAAATGATGCTTTTGTGTTTATTAAAGGGGGCGGTGGGCTTCCTTCCTAACAAGCATACCATTCGAGGTGGCTGATTAGGGCTTTTTTTTTAAGCATCAGCCTAAGAACCAACAGTTTGCATACAAATAAGCCAGATCTACAAAGCAGATGTACACACACCTCAAGCTTTAGAACGAGACTAGAGTCCAGAAATGGATGAACAGCCAGAACTTCCTGCTGGAGTTTACAGCTGGTGAGTACTGAGAAGAAGAAGATGAATCTGTTTTAAGAAAAAAAAACATTGGCTGCAAAATCCTGTCAGGCATAAATGAATCTACAAATTTGTGTTCCTTTGGGAGATGAAAGGCAGAAGCAGTATAAATATGTCTTATGGGCTAAATAATTTTTTTTTCTTTTATCATCATCCTCATCATCTTGTGCATTTTTACTGACAAGTTTTTCACTAGTTTTCGGCTAGATGCCCACCTGTGGATCGGAAGGTCGTGGGTTCGCGTCCTACCTCAGTCGGACTTTTTTCAAAAATGACCTCAACTCCCAGGTGGAACCAGCCTTGAGTGGGTACCAGGTGCAGTCCTTGGAGGTAAAGGTGGCCAATGTGATGCTGACCATATAACCCACCAAGTGAGGTTTGGTCTATAAAAATGTAGGTCTTGCCCTAAATTCCGAATCTGCCGGAAGGCATAGAAATGGGACCTTTACTTTATTAAACATCACATGGGACTCAGTCTAGCCTTTCATTCCATTCTGTCTTGTGCAGTCCTTCTGAAATAGTGGAGGGAATTCAATCCTGCAACTTTGACCTCTGACCTCAACTTTAATCTCAGGGTTTTTCTTGGACATCCTCATTAATCTACTTGTTTCAGTGCAGACAACACGAAAGACTGGTACAGCAATATCACCATAAATGGCTCACAGGACAGCCCAGTAACACCACCAACGGATGGCACAATAAGTAACACATGACCTATTAAGATCTAAACTTGCACAATGAGGTGGACATGACCTGGCCGGCCAGATAGACATAGATGACATAAAATACTAGCACCAAACACTATGCAATGAGATAATAACACAATTTTTGTCATAATTATAACCAATATTAAGTAGGATGAGGCTAGTTTTCTAGTCAAAGGTTGAACCTGGCTAATTGTAATTGAATGAACGAGCATGTTTGTTTAGAATTTGTTGTTGTTTGTTATCTTTCTTTCTCAGTGATATTTAGCCTACTCAGTATTGCCACATTTCAGCAGCATTAACAGCACATCACATTTTCCTCACAGTTTCAGTACGATGGAGACAAAACCTTATTTGAAGATGATGATACACGTTGCTTCTATGAGACATTGCCAGACCTGAGAGCCTTTATACCTGGTGTAAGTTAATCATATTGCTGATGATTTTTTTCTTTTAGTCCAGGCTGTCTCCTTCTCCTTCTCCCGCCTTCTCCTTCCTCCTCCTCCTTCTGGTTCAATAGCTGTAAACTCGTGGAAAGTCTTGGTGTTAATCTGCTTATCTACTTCGGTCTAGGGACTACAGGAGTTTTGTATGCACATCCATTTTACCTGTCTGGCAAATTTGTGTACACACTGCTACTTCTTTGCATCTCAGGCAGATGCACTTAAACAACATAGAGTGGTAGTAGCATATTTATTAGTCTACTTTTACAGACTCTCTACATGCCTTGTGTGGGTTCCAAAGGCCCTTTTTGGGAAAAACAAGAATAGATCCACTGCCTCCCCAACAAGCATGTCCTAGGAGTCTACTAATAGGGGGACTTATTTTGAAGTCGGGATGCATCTGCCTGAGTGGTAGGAACAACCACTGCACACAAATAAGCCAGTAAAATGGATGTACATGCAAAATTCAAGCCTCGGCAGGAAGCCCAATTCCAAATGGACAAACAACAGTTCAGGTGGATGAACAGCCAGGACCTTTCACCAGAGTTTACACCTGGTGAACAAAGAAGAAGAAGATTCTCTACATATCAGGGTTTATAGCCGACCTGGAAACTTGATTTTTAACTTGGAAAAGACATATTGACATTGGAAAAGGCCAGCCTACCTTGAATTTTACCCTCCATAAAGGGATAATTTGAAGTAAAATGAAATTTTTCAGCAGTTAGGATTTTTGGGTGCTATTTGGCTATTTTTTGCTACCTTCATTTTAAATGTTGATGGTTGTTTTTGTCGATTGATCAATGCTCCTTTTCAGCTCAGATGGGTAGATGCACCTAAGTTTTGACCATTTGGCTATTTACAGCCATCTTAATTTCAAATGTCTTTCTCAGTAAAGGAAATGAGGGATTGATCGATTGATCTTTTGTTCATTGTTTTGACACATAGTGACAGTAACATATTTATCAATGTGCTTGTTACAGATTCTCTAAACATAGTAATAGTAACTTATTTATCAATCTGTTATAGATTCTTTAAGGAGATAGTGATAGTAATGTACATATTTAAGAATGCTCGTCCACAGAAATACTGATAATAACATATTTATCAGCCAGCTTATTACAGTTTCTTTAAGGAAATAGTGATATTAATATAAATATTTATCATCTGCTTATTACAGATTCTCTACAGAGATAGTGAAAATGTCACTTCTAAAGATGATCTAAAAAATGCAGACACTGGACTGGAAGAAGGTTTGTCCATCTTGCTTGATCACATTGGTTGTTATCTCTCAATTTCTTGTTTTACCATGAGAATGAAAATGGTCAGTGCTACCCAGTTCATGAATCTCGTGTAATACTATGTGAAGATAATGGCCAGTAGTCAAGAAGCTTATGTATTACCATGTGAAGATAATGGCTAGCGCTGCCAATTTCTTGAATCACATGTTTTACCATGTGAAGATAATGGCCAGTACTACCCATTTTGTAAATCACATATTTTACCGTGTGAAAATGCTACCCACTTCATAAATCTCATGTTATACCATGTGAAGATAATGGCCAGTGCTACCCATTAGACTCTGGACCGTGAGCTGTTTCTCCCCATAACACTTGATCAGGGTTCGTAGTGGACAGGGAAACCTTGAATTGACCGTGATTTTTTTTCTTGGACCAGGAACAGTGATTTTCAGCTTGAAAAAGACATTCTGACCTTGAGAAGCCGTGAATTTTGACCACCGCAATGAAATCGTCGGAAATCCTGCGATTTTCAGCAGTTGGGCAATTTTTGAGGGGCCATTTGGCTTTTTTTGGCTAGTTTTTGGCTACTTTCATTTACGGTCGTTTCAGGTGTGAGGGTAGCTGATTGTCAGCTATTTTCAGCCGAAAGGGCTTGTTAAAGGCCAGGGAAGGGCGGGCTGTGTTGCAGCTCATGAATGCATGCAGACAGCAGCGGCGTAGAAGGTTATGTGTTGCCTAGTGCAGAACATTTCATGTCCACCACTTCCCCCTCCCTCACACACACATTAAATATATGTGTACTTTTAAAAACACATTTGCTGTCACCACCACCCCCCCCCCCCCTTCCCCCTCCTCTTTCTTCTCTCATATTGAGGACACCTAGGCGAGGGGGTGCACACCCCTTCCTCCTACCTTCTTCCCTCTATATCTCATCTTATTTCTTTCTCCCTTCTTTCTCTCCCTGTCTCAGTGCCCACTTTATTTTCTTACTTTATTCTCTCACCTTTCCCACCTCCTCTGTCTCACCCTTACCATCTCAGCCTTCTACACCACCTTCCACCACCTCCTCTCCCCCCTCCTTTCTGTAACTGGAAAACCAGAAATAAAACGAAGTCCACTGGTGCCCTTACCTATTTGTGTGTGTGTGTGTGTGGGTAACCTGCTCTATTTTCCACCAGTGGTGGGTTGGGATCCCCAGGACTTTTTTCTTCATAAAATGACCTTGGCTCTCAGGTCACCAGCCTTAAGTGTAAGAAATTGAACTATTGTTGTCACACGCAGATAGGACATAGGACAAGCACGAGGCAGTAGGGGTTAGCACTGTTGTTTAGGACCACGGCCACATTCACATTGGGAGAGGGTAGGAACCGGAAAAGTGGCCTCACTTAGAGATTTCCTAATTCTATTTTTGGCGCTCAGTGTTCTTCCACCACCTTCCACCACCTCCTCTCCCCCCTCCTTTCTGTAATTGGAAAACCAGAAATAAAACGAAGTCCACTGGTGCCCTGACCTATTTGTGTGTGTGTTTGTGTGTGGGTAACCTGCTCTATTTTCCACCAGTGGTGGGTTGGGATCCCCAGGACTTTTTTCTTCATAAAATGACCTTGGCTCCCAGGTCACCAGCCTTAAGTGTAAGAAATTGAACTATTGTTGTCACACGCAGATAGGACATAGGACAAGCACGAGGCAGTAGGGGTTAGCACTGTTGTTTAGGACCACGGCCACATTCATATTGGGAGAGGGTAGGAACCGGAAAAGTGGCCTCACTTAGAGATTTCCTAATTCTATTTTTGGCGCTCAGTGTTCTTATAGCCACCCCTCCCCCCCACAACCATGTCTTACCTCTCTTCTCTCACCCCTTCTCTTTCCTTTGATCTTCCACTATTCTCCTTTCTCTCTCCATTCTTCCTCTCTTCCTTTCCTTACTCTGTTCTCTCTTGCTCTTTCTCCTGTCCCATCTCTTCTTTGTCTCCTCTCCATCCTCTCTTTTCATTTTCTCTAGATTTCCTTACCCTCTCCCATTACCCCCCCCCCCCCCCCCTCCTTTTCTGGTTCATCTACATATGTTTTTTTTTCCCATAACCATCTTTTCCTAGTGGTTGTGTCCACTACACTTGAAATTGTGTTGGGGGAGTGGGTGGGGTTTCAGCCTGAGGCTGTTTTTTTTCTTCTTTGATGTATCTTGTCTCCCTTCCTGCCCTTCTCTCTTAATCTGTGTTTGTCACTGCCTTCCTTACCCATCTCTCTCTCTCTCTCTTGCTTTATGTCTGTTTGCCTCCCTTCATCACTTCCTCTTTGTATACCTCCCTCCCATTCTCCTGCTCTGCCTTTTTTTCTTTCTTTGGTTCTCTCCCTCTGTCTGCTTGCCTTTCTATGCTGTCCCTTTGTCTCTCTCTCCTTTATGTCTACATCTCTCTCTGCTTGCATCTGCTTCTCTCCCTGTCTGTTCTCTCTCCCTCTGTCTCCCTTCCTTCAACTCTCTTTGTCATATTTTCCTCCTTCCATATCTGTTTCGTTCCCTTTTCTTTTTTTATCTGCTCATCTCTGTATCTGCTTTCCCTCTTTCTGTATTTGTCTCCCTCTATGTCTTTTGCTGTCCCTTTCCCACTTTCCCTCATCATGTCTCCATCCCTCCCTCTCGTTTTTTCCTCCTTCCCCAGACTCCTTTTCCTTCTTTCCTCTACCTTCATCTGTCCATCTTTACACTGTCTCTCCCAGTCTACCTCAGCATGTGTTTTCCTCCCTCTCTGCATGACTCTCTCTCTCTCTCTCCCTAACCCTTTCAGGTACCAAGTCCAGAACAGACAGGACTTCAGTTTGCTGCCCTCTACCACCAAGTCTTAAAAAAATTTTCAAACACTATATCAAGCACAGGGGCTGACCAACTCGAAGATGGGCACAGGATAAAAGTGACTCCTTGAGTATAAAAAAGTACATGAGACGGGAGAGCTGGTGAGAGACCAAGTTTTTTTCAGGACAAAGGAAATGCTACATGATGATGATGATATATGTGCTTGTATACCAACACATGTGGCATGAATGAAGTACATTGTGTGCCAGGTACACCCTTGAACAAGGCAAAAATCTTGTTTCAGTATTACACCGAGACAACCTTGAAAAATACTAAGGAGACCTTGAAAAAGACCTTGAAAAGCCTTGAGATTGATTGGTAAATTTGGCTATGAGCCCTGCTTGATGTCAAAAGTGGAAGTTAATAATGATTACAGTAAATTGCAGCGTGCTATTGGACCACAAATATTTTATTCATAATTCTTAGGTAAACCTTATAGGTTGACTCCAAAAGGCCTGTTCAACCTACCGGTAAATGGAGTTAGGCTACAGTATACGATAACCTGTGTCAAAGCAAAATAAATTCACAACACTTGCTTGTATATGGAGACACAAATCATAATATTTTATAATAATTATTGTTACCAGATATGTTCACCAAACACACATTTTAGTGGGATATATATTTGTGTTGGCTTGCTTGAGATATGATAAGTGGGGTACAGTGATTGTGAGTAGTGCTGTCCCCACTGTTTATAAGTTGGTAAAGGTTTGCATTTTATACCTACCTTTTAAGTCAACTACTAGTTTTGGAAATATGATTTAGGCTTGAAAACATGCTGTAATTTTCAGTATATTAAGTTGAGCCATTATTCTTCTATCTTCCTTTGTCAGTCACATTGATATTACCCCTTGTTTCAGAGATGGACCATCTTGCAGTCGATGATATTGAGAAAGAGTTGGAGACAGAACAGATTGAGGAGAATATGAAGGAAGCTGAGAGGCAAGAAGCTGGAGGAGAAGCAGCAGTAGAAGTAGAAGAGGAAAGATTTGTTCTACCTGAAGCTGAGGGTATGAAATTTGTCTTTTGTTTCTTTTCTTAAAAAAAAAAAACAACTAACTTGTGTTCACTGTCTATCAACAGTAATACTTTTTAAGGTAGAAAGGGGAGGGGTCTTGAACCTGAGTATTTAGGACTGAATGGCTAGTGCAGTTGCACAGACTGTGCAGATTACGATGTTCATTTTTGTCCCTGACAGAAAAACAAAATGACCATAACTTTACCAGGGATTCGGTTCCCAGTCGCTGACATGAAAGTCTACCATTCTAACCTATTGGCCAGCCATGCCTCCTTTTCTGTATTTTTAATATTTGGCTGGTAAAAGTAAATGATATATTGGTGTCTGGTGCAAGCCAGGGTTGAGAATTATTTGCAAGGAATCGCAACCATCTAAGACACTGCTTGACTTAATTTTTATTTAAAAAATAATCTGCTTGACTTAACGACCGAAATTCATTCTAACAGGTCATAAGTCGAACTGGTCTTGAGTCAGATTTATATTAATCAACACTATTTTTTATTCAAAAGATTTATAAAAAGTGCACACAAAACACAAGAATGCAATCTATATACGTCTGATTATTGTACATAATGTGAAAAATGGTGTCTTATACAAGCAAAAATAAAGAAACTTCTTGTGCTACTTGTGCATTGAGTACGGGGTGCTAAACTGAAGAAGACAGAAATATTGACAGCTTATAAGATTTAAATTTTGAAGCCAAGTGGCTTATAAACCGCATTCTTGGAAACTGAAATCCCCCTGTGAGCTCTGGAGCCCTTTGGGGGGTGGGGGGAGGTAGACTCACAGCTTCCCTAACAAGCATGTTGTAAACTATATTTGCATTGTATCTACCTGAGAGGCGAAGAATGAACAGTCTGCATAATACAGAAAAGCCAGATTTGCAAAATAAATGTGTATGTAGACCTCAAGAAATTGATGAACAAGCAAAAACTCTCAGCCATAATTTACAGCTGGTGAATGCAGTGAGGAAGTAAAAGAAGGAAACTGAAACACTGGCTGTATTAGATGTCACAATGGCTTAGGAAAAACTAAGGAGGAAGAAGTGATGGAAAATAAAGTGAGGATCACCCATCATTTAAGTAGCCCACAGCCTTCTGAGCATGTGAAACACACATATTCACAAGAAATTCACTGAGATCTTGCTCAGCATGAAGGTCTCCCATGTGAAGTGCTCAAACCATCTGCCTCATGCTCTGAAGGCTGTGGTCTACTTAAATGATGGGTAACCCTCGCTTTATTTTCCATCACTTCTTCCTCACACACACGTCTGCACAAGTGCCTGCATAAAATACTGTGGTGTGTGTGTGTGTGCATGAAGAAGTTAACTTACTGGCTTGGTGGCTTGGTTAATGCAGCTAGTCTTGATATGTGTTCAAACATTTTTTTCATCTCAGAAGATGACCCAGAGACTGGCACACTCATGCGGGTGCAGTTTGATTCATTCCTGGCATCTTTGCCAAACTGCGTCAACAGGGACATGATTGATAAGGTAAAATATTTAGTGGTTAAAACATTCTGACAGAAGTGAAAAAAAAAAAAAATTTACCTAATTAATTGTAATCAGAGTGCAGTTCTGTGGCTTAGAAGTTAGCAGTTGTGTTCCACAGTCCTTGATGTGTCTGGGTTCAATTTGTGCGATTGGAAGGGGGTTGTGCACGTGTGTAGAAAATTACCATTTCCATCGTCTTTGGGCAGTGGTTTGAGAGGCACACTCTGAAAAAAATTGAACCTTCTTTAATTCTTTTTTTCTATTTTCTGCTGTGTGCACACGTCACAGATTAACAAATTATCGGGTTCCAAGCCCGGCCGCGCTCGGTTACCTGGTATGCTGTGATGTTGTGGAGTATCAAGATATAAGTGACTCCTTCAGCCCATCTTTTTCTTGGTCATCCCCACACGTCTTGTGTTTCTACTGCTATGTTGTATGCTCGCGTTGCTGGCATCATTGCATTCATTCTCATTAAATGGGCAAACCATTTCAATCTTTGTTTTTTTTAGTGAATTTAATTAAAGGCGTTTTTCCAATTGTTCTTGTGATTTCTTCGTTTCTCACGTGGTCTCTTTTAGTATTGTTCATGGCTTTTCTCAGACATCTCTTTTCGCAGCTCTTTTCCTGGTATGTGAAGTTCTGTAAAAGATATGCAACAGACTTTACAATTTATGTTATTTAGCATGCCTAACTTTTAAGTGTTCACAAATTAATGTTCTTTAAAATTACTAAATTGCAAAATTACAATTTTCAGGCAGCAGTTGAATTTTGTATGAATTTCAACACTAAATCCAATCGTAAAAAACTGGTCAAAGCCCTCCTTTCTGTGCACAGAACTCGGTGAGTACACAGTTCAAGCCTAGAAGTAAAATTGAAGCTGATAATTCGAATCTAGAAGTTGAGTTTAATATTTGATAATAAGGCTATTTGTTAATGATAATGTTTGGTAAATACTTATTTGTTCTCATTAAACAGATTGTTTATCTTTCCTTTCAGAAGTCAGTTTTTCAAGTTCATTTGAATATTTTAAAATAGTTGAGCATGACTAAAGAAAGACAAACATTTTGCTATTTCCTCTTTTTTTTAAAATTCTTCTTCTCCTCCTCTTCCTATTCCTCATCCTCTATCTTCTCCTGCTTCTTCTTTTTCTTCTTCTTCTTTTGCTTCTTCTTCTGGCTGTAACTTTAGCAGAAAGTCCTGGTTGGTCAGCCACCTCTGGACTTTTGCCTTGTTCCAAGACTTGAGTCCTCATTGCCTGCACATCTGTTTTACAGATCTGGCTTATTTGTTTGCAGATTGTTAGTTTCTTCTTAGGCAAATGTTCTCCAGCTTCAAAGGAATCATTGATTGTACCCACATTGATCAGGCTTCTAGTCAGGAGTCTTTTTTAGGATGACTGCAGAGAGGTGTTGACCAGTCTTGACCAGTATGAAACTGTCATCCTGTTGCACCACCATGCGTGGTTCAGCACCTCAGTATCCCTTGTGCTCACTTACTGTGAGGTGTATTAATTCTGCATATTGTATATCACAATATTGTGTGATGTGGCTCACATTTAAGCACACTTTATTTATGCTTTGCACTTTGCAAATAAAATATTTGTTTTGTTCCAGATATGACCTTCTTCCATTTTACTCTCGACTTGTGGCCATTTTGGAGCCATGTATGCCAGAACTGGCATCAGATCTTGTGCAGACACTCAAGTCAGACTTCAAGTGGCATGTAAGAAATACCATTTTAAAAACATTTAGGAGGTCAGGATCGTAAATAAATCAACTAACAGTAGCATTTAAAGGGGCCTGCCTTTGTGCTTTTTTAAAGCCAAAATGACGTCAGATTTTCTCATAAACCTCAGTGGTAAAGGTAACGGGATCAGGGCATGAGTTACACAATGTGTGTGTTTTTTAGGCTCTAGAGGATGTATTCAGTTTAATGCTTCACTCGGTTCTTGTTTATTGATGACTCCTTTCATGTATCTTTTAATATTTTGATAATTTTCAAATTTGATAAACAGATTTTAAATGAATTTATTAGAGATCTGTTTAAAAATTGTTGTTGTTTTGACAGATTTTTTCATGAATCCTAACAGAGTCATGACCTATATATATATAGGGCAGTGGACAATGCATTTTTGCTCCGTTGGTAGACTGGATATAGTTTTGTCGCCAAGCTTCTGAATTAAATGCATGGCGTGACACTGTGAGCTGGGTATTTCATTTGGAATGTTTTTCGACTGTGACCATGTGGTGGTGTGAATTGTAGATTCAGAAAATGGCGTGATGCCTGTCGTCGCAATGTTGGTGGTGCCTGTATGTGATTAAAATTGATCGCGTGGGCAGCTGCTGATCTTTTGGTGACTTCTGCTACCATCAGTGATGAACTGCATTTCTAATGTCGGACTGTTTGTGTTTAGCACTTCGAATGGCTACTGTATACTTTAATGCTTGTGTATGCTAGATTTGCTGAGACAGCAGTCTGTCAATCTTTCCACAAGGGACTGTGATAAACATTATGTGTGTTTTTTTGATGGCACAGGAACGGAGCCAGGATGGGGTGATCCATTTACTTTGAAGCTGAAACTAAGATTACCAGACTACCATATATATATTTTGTGTGTGTGGAGTTATTGTAGCCAACAGGTTAAAGGGCAAACAGATGGAGAAGAAGTGTCAGGCATTTATAATTTAGCTTGTTCTCTCCTAGTATCTGTTTACTTTAGGTAAATTACTGTTTTCGTGATCAAAAGGACTCAGAATAATAGCACTGTGAGAGAGAAGTTTCAGTAACAATTGAAGCAATGTGAGTTAATGTAACAACTGAATGTGGCATGGGGAGATAAGAAAAATGTTTACTGTGAGTAGGAGCCAACCAGTTACTCGGTGCTGAATGAGTTAATAGTATCATTAGTATTGATTGACACTCACATAAGTTGAGAAGAAACACAAGATAGATATCACATACCAGTAAAGACCTTTCTGGTAACATTTCTTGAGTCATCTGACTATGCTGATTGCTACATTTTGTATAATCTCTGTAACTGTAAGCAACAGCATTGAAAGGTTAACTTTATGCTAAAAGTTACATTCTAGTAGTTCCCTGTAATCCCTTCACTGTTTTTTGTAGTGAATACCATCCTTTCTGCCTTACATCTCAGCCATCTTCTCTTCTTTTTTCTTCTGTTTCTTTTCCTCTTTGTACAGCTTTTTCTCTTTCTGTGGTATAATCACTCTGATCTCTTTCATCACATTGTGTGCTGATTTGTCATCTTTGTTGTCATTATCCCTGTCTTTGTCCATTTTCGTGTCCTACTGTTATTGGTTGTTTCATTAAATATTTGATTTTCACGAGAATTAATTGTTTGCTTTAAAAAAAAAACTGATTACTTGATCTCTTTTTTCATCACACTGTCAGTTTTCCCTTCATTATCATTGCTTTTAAGTATTTCTTCTGAAAGGAAGTGTTGAGCTGTGTGCATTTATAATCCTTAAATACGAATGACTATTATTTGTATCTATTCAGGTGAGGAAAAAGGATCAGATTAACATAGAGACCAAGCTGAAAATTGTTCGTTTTATTGGTAAGTTCAGCCGGTGCTATGTGAGAATTTGATGAAACTTCATGTACTAGAGTTCTTATTTAAAGATATGGGAAGATGTTAGTACGTGAATTCTTCTTCTTCTGTGTTTGGCCCTAAAATGGTACTTGTGGTTACACCTAGGCTACTATATCCTTTCCTATCTGCCCTACACATCTAATGTCAGCAAACCCGTAATTAGTGGCCCTTTTCACCATGCTAGTTAAGAGGCAGTGGTCTCCTCTTTTACCCCGTAAATAGGGCTCAAGAACCCACATAGGGAAAGTGAGAATTTGACGAAGTCTTCCTACACTTAGACAGTCTTGTATCAAAGTGGGGAAGATAATAGTTCATGAGTTAATATATTCTTGTGGACAACAGCTTGAAAAACTTAAGCCAGTTATTACCCCTTTCCATAAATTGTGGCGTAGTGGGTTGTTTGAATATGTTGCTTTTCTTTCTGAGGGGAGGGGATAAATGGTTCCACTTCAACAAACAATGATTCTTCTTCATCTTTTGCCACCTTTAATCTCTCAACAGAACACAGGTCTTAAACCAACTCAGGCACATCTTTGTATGCTTCTTAATGATTGAATAGATATGCAGGAGAAGATTTCTGCAGGATGGGCAGTTAGTCTCACACTAGTTAGTCCAGATGTTCCCATCCATGGGTTGTGACCCCAAATGTAGTCACCAGGGGTTTTCTATGGGGTCGCCAGGCAGTGGTAAACTAAAACAATTTGTTACAGGAAAACAAGCTGTGTTGATTATATTAAACTGAAAAATGACTTTTTGGTGTGTTTTAATTTCACCCTATGAAAAGCCTTTTTTCAATGTATAGGGTTGTGGTTCACTTTTTCTCTATTAAGTGGGGTTGTGACTCAAACAAGTGAGAATCATTGCCTTAGTCACTTCTAACAACATGCAGGGTAGGTTACAGTATTATAATCCTCCATCCCTTCCCCTCAATTTGTCTTTAAGGGTTGTCTCTTGGCCAGATTTTCATTTTCTCACTGGCAAATTTTAAGCTTAATAAGGGTTACAATTAGGAGGTGCTGTGTGCAAACTTCTCATACTGAAACACTTTGGCATTTGAAATTTCAAAATAATAAGTGGTATTGTCATTGCCAGACCCTGGAAAATTAGTGGGGGAAAAAATTAGAAAAACTTCTCACAAAAGAGGTAACAATTTTCATTTACTCATGTGTATGGTTTGTGAGTCTGCCACATCTGCACCATCTCTTATGTTAATTTCTGTAATGTCAATGTTAGTTTTATTTATTCATCTTAAAGATTTTTGTTGTATAAGAGAAGTAAATAGTAAATTTTATATCCTGTAGCATAAATAGTTCTCAATTTTTATGTATTACATCACATGACACATTTCTCTTTTTACAGGTGAACTTGTTAAGTTTAAGGTGTGTCCAAAAATTGAAGCCTTACAGTGTCTCAGGGTATGTATTTTCATTTGCAAGATTATTTATGTTTTAGAATTTTAGGCAAGACAGTACGCATGAGATAGGAGAACATACAAGGCAGGACAATAGGCTGTGGTAAAATACTTGACAGGAATTTAAATTAAAGAAAATAATAGACAAATAAAAACGGAAAATACTTAACAAGATGTGAGACTATGGGACAATAGTAGTTAAGACTTGGACCGGGGCTAAATACTAGTTAATATAATAATTTAAGGAAAAAGTAACCCCCAACACTTTGCTGAGGTACAAGGTGGAAGAAAAGAAGAAGAAGGAAAAAGTAACTGTATTAGGTAATAAGGAGAAGACCAGGAGGTAATACCAGGCTACTTAATAGACTCTAAAAGGGAGGGGGGATAACAATTAGTCAAGGTATTAGATTAGGGAAAAATACTGGGCAAAATATTTTTAGAATGCCTCGTGGCCTCAAGGATCTCTCGAACAGCACCTTCTGTTCGCTTCAAATAAAATACATTTCAGTGTCTCTGATATTTCTGCCGTCAATCTGCGAGGTTTACCTCTGGCTCCGTTACTGCTGTATCTGTTTAATATTGCTCTCTGTGGCACTCTGTCTGATGCCAATCTTGTTACATGACCAAACCATTTGATTTTGTTGTCTACCTATAAAGTTCAGTATTAGTTCTGTGCTGACTCCTGATATCATTGTTCCGAAGTAAATCTTTCCTTGTTACGCCTAGCATAGCACGTAAACATTTCATTTTCATTTCTGTCAAGACTATTTTCCTTCTGTCTTCTGAAAACAATGTCCATGTTTGACATTGATAGCACATCATTGGTAAGAATACAGGTGCTAAAATATTAAAATCAAATAGCCAGGAAGGCTAACCCGGGCAACAATGGACTGAAAAAGTTGGATCTGTCAGCCAAAAGGTGCAAATATCACAGTCATAATGTGAGCTGTTACAACACATTTACAGCTTTGGATGAACACAGAAGAAGAAGAGGAAAAAAAAAAATCAAATAGTTTTAACATCTTCAGATTCTGCATTGCTTGATATTATTAATGAGACATGATTAATGAATGGTTGACAGATGCTGATGTTTGAGTTTCGTCATCACAACATTGAGATGGCCTGTGCCCTCTTGGAATCATGTGGCCGCTTTTTGTACAGATCTCCTGATTCTCATTACCGTACCAAGATTTACCTGGTAAGTACTTTGATGTTGATTTGACTTTTTGTGGATGCTCTTTGCCTTGTTGATGGTCTTTGCCTTGTTTATGATGCTCTTTGCCTTGTTTATGATATTCTTAGCCTTTTTCTTGATGCGCTTAGCCCTTTTCTTGACGCTCTTTGCCTTATTGTTGAAACTCTTATCCTTGTTGATATTGTTTGCCTTGTTGATGCTGTTTGCTTTGTTTTTGATGCTGTTTGCCTTGTTGTTGATGCTGTTTGTCTTGTTGTTGATGCTGTTTGCCTTGTTGTTGATGCTGTTTGCCTTGTTGTTGATGCTGTTTGCCTTGTTGTCGAGGCTTTTTGCCTTGTTGTTGATGTTGTTTGCCCATTAGCTTGTAAAAATGTTTTGTAATACATTGTGTAGCTAGCAATGTCTCTTGATGTTTCATTGCATTCATTGCTAAAGCCCAATAACTATTCTGTTATTTGTATGCAGGAAATTTCTGACTTCTTTCACTTACAAATAAGTAAACTAAGAAGCCCACCTTAAGGGAGGTTTAAACACTTGACCTCAGGGTGGTAGGCAGATATGCTGGCCATCATGTTGGTAACCATGAGAGGTCATAATTTGTCATCTCACACATTTACGTGTCTCATATCAGCCCTTTGTTCTTTGCTGATTTTGCCACATGTTTAAGCTATATTGTGCTATGTTTAAGCAATCCTTTTGGTCTTTTCCTTGCTCATTACCCAGCATGTTTTAGCTGTCCAAAGTATTTGTCTTCCCCTTGCTCATTACTCAGCATGTTTGAGCTGTCCAAAGTATTTGTCTTCCCCTTGCTCATTACCCAGCAGTTTGAGCTGTGCGAAGTATTTGTCTTTTCCTTGCTCATTACCCAGCATGTTTGAGCTGTCCAGAGAATTTATCTTTTCCTTGCTAAAAAGACAGCCCTGTTTGAGCTGTCTAAAGTATTTGTCTTTCCCTTGCTCATTACCCAGCATGTTTTAGCTGTCCAAAATATTTGTCTTTCCCTTGCTCATTACCCAGCATGTCTGAGCTGTCCAAAGTATTTGTCTTTCCCTTGCTCATTACCCAGCATGTCTGAGCTGTCCAAAGTATTTGTCTTTCCCTTGCTCATTACCCAGCATGTCTGAGCTGTCCAAAGTATTTGTCTTTCCCTTGCTCATTACCCAGCATGTCTGAGCTGTCCAAAGTATTTGTCTTTCCCTTGCTCATTACCCAGCATATCTGAGCTGCCTAAAGTATTTATCTTTTCCTTGCTCATTACCCAGCATGTCTGAGCTGTCCAAAGTATTTATCTTTCCCTTGCTCATTACCCAGCATATCTGAGCTGCCTAAAGTATTTATCTTTCCCTTGCTCATTACCCAGCATGTTTGCCAGCATTTAAGTCAGGATTGGGTTGACAGCATTCAAAATGTCCTGTTTCAAGAAACTGTCTTGGCTGTACCCACCAGGGTGAAAGGAAATGAAAAAGTCAACAGAATAGCGATGTGTGCAGTGGTTAGTGGAGGAAGAAATATGGACAGGGCAAACATACAGAATGTGCTGAGTTCCAGAGATGGTGAGACAAAGGAGTCAGAGAGGATGAACCACCTGTTTGAAATGGGTATTCAGTGGGGACAAGCAGGCAGAAACCTGTTGCAAACAAAGAAAGAAAATATGGCAGTCAGATCCTACTGGGTACGTTGAGCATAAAGATGCTGAGATAGCTGCTGTATCAGACGACGGAGCATGAACGGTTCGGACTGATGTGCTAGGATGTCGATACTGACAACAAACAAGTACAGGATGGTAGCGGGATGTTGACCCTATCACTGTCTGCTCTGTCCCCATCTTCAGCAGCAGGTGAAGAGTTCCAATTCAGATGGCACCAGTAACTGTCTGATTGTTTATCCGTCTCGCCTTTCCATTGAGTGATTAGAGGATTCTTAAAAACACAGCAACAAAAACTGTTTTATACTGCCCTTATCGTACCACTTTTTTCCAGTCGAAATTGTAGAACAGTAGGGTCTTTTTGAGCCGGAGAATTTTTGACTGCACGGCTTCATAAACTGTGCAGGTCAAAGTTTATTTGAAAAAGTTTCAACACCTGAACCAACGATTTGAACCTGGGTCTCTTAGATGAAAGCCCATTGTCTTAACTGTTTGGGCTTATGCTTCCTAATAAACCAAACTATCAGTTTTTCCTGGTCGTACGCAATGGTACGCAGTACTAGGACCTTTTTTGTTTGAGACATTTTTTCTTCAGTGCCACTGTAATGGATACTTTGGGGTCAGTACCGACACCTTTAAGACACAAAATGGTGAGTAGCAGCACCTATTGTTCTAGAAATAAACAGGCCTGCTGACAGTACCAAAATAAGTGTGCGGACATATTTTAAATACATTCTTGTCTCTTCTTCCACAGGAAGTGATGATGAGAAAGAAATCTGCGACTAAGCTGGAGACGAGATATGAGACCATGATTGAAAATGCCTTCTACTACAGCAACCCCCCAGAGGTGCAGGCTGTCGCCCGAAAGGAAAGGCCTCCAGTGCATGAGTATATCCGCAAACTGCTGTACAAAGATTTATCCAAAGTTACTGTGGAAAAGGTAATTTGTTGTTACAATAAGATAACTCACCACGCGGATGTTACTGAAGTTTATTAAAGAAGAAGCAGAGTTCAAGTTAAAGGCAAGAGGATTGACCTCATTGCACTTGGTTTAGTCCCCTATGACTCAGTCTCTCTCTGCAGACTTGCCACATGCCGAAAGCATCATACAGAGCTCAAACTCTGTAGCTCCAATGCTGATTCTCAAGGGTCTGTAAAAATGGCACTTGTGAACTGAATGACCTATCCTCAAAAGGAACCCACGACTTCAGAATGTGAGGCACTTCCCGTGTGGGTTCCAGGGTCCCATTGTGGGGAATAGACACACTGCCTCCAACAAGCATGTCATATGAGCATATTATTTAGGGATGGTTCCTTTGAAGTCGGAGTGCATCTGCCTGAGCGACAAGGAACCAACAGTGTGCATACAAATAAGCCAGATCTGTAAAATTCAAGTTCTGGCACAAGACCAAAGAATTTGATGAACAACCAGATCTTTTACTGGAGTTTACAGCCAGTGAACACAAAGGAGAAGAAGAAAAAGAAGAAGAAGAAGATGATTTTACCACTTTATAACGAGACCCCCAGAAGAAGCAAAGAATAGTAACACTGTCTGGTAGTCTGAGTTTCAGCTTCATAATAAATGGGTCACCCCATTTTTGCTCCGCTCCTGTGCCAACGAAAAACACACACAATGTTTATCACAGTCCTTGTGGAAAGATTGACAGACTGCTGTAACACTGTGACGTACCAAGCATGTCATAGGAGGTAACTAAGGAAGGTTGGTCTAAAACTGCTGAACTCTTTCTGTAGCAAACATTAGCTGCGAGTAAGCTATGGCTGTGCATGAGTTGTTAAGGACTTAAGCTCCTCAGTCCAGGTCTCACAAGGACCAAGAAGCATTTCTTCACATTATCACAAAAAGACACTATGCAGCAAAAGTAGCTTTAAAAAAAAAAGTAGTTAAACTTGTGTAATTCAACAAATACAGTAAAAGTTGGCTAGTTAGTTGACTGACAGATTATCCTCATTGAACCATTCAATCCATAAGTGCTCTGATTTCCCCCTTTATAGACCTTGCGGCTGACAACATTAGTTCTTGGGCTTCCTGCTTAGTGCTGTTGTCTGTCACACCCCTTTTAACTTTCTGTTCTAGTAGTCTGGTCATGGTTGCAGATAGACGCAATATAAAGAGTCAACATAACATCTATCTGTTTTAGAACACAGCAAGAACATCAGATTATCTTTGGAATGACCTTCAAATATGTGGTGAGTTGTTTGGTACTGAAAGAGTTAAAATCCATTCTGTTTGAAAATAAGCAAGTAGTCAACCAAGTTAGCTGCTGTCAACTAGAAGTTAATAGTTAGTTGAAGTTCGAGCATCACTACAGAGGGGTCGATTACAACCCCTCCTTTCCTGTGTGGAAGTCACACACAATGTCCCTCACTGTGCCATTTGAAAACTAGTGAAAAACTTGTCAGTCTCAACAAAATCTGGAAATTTGCAAATGTAAATTCCACCACCCCCCCCCCCCCCACCAAATAATTAACCAACCAACTAGCCACCAAATCTCAGACAGCAGTAATTTCATATTCAAGTCATCTCTAGTCAGTGATTTGCTGTCACATTAAAAGCCCTTGTACTGCGTTACCCCTAACCCTCCCACCCCGTTAATGCTAAAATAAATTTCCCAAGAACCCATATGAATCCCCCCCCCCCCCCCCCCCCCACCCACCCCCCACCACCCCCCCCCCCCCCCCCCCCCCCCACCCCCCCCCCCCCCCCCCCCCCCCCCCCCCCCCCCTCCCAAATCCTTTCAAAAGCATTTTACAAAGGTTGCAACTAAATGTTAAAAAAAAATATTATTTCAGTGTCACCGGTTAACTCCTTGATTTCCTTTTTTAAAATATGTATGTATGTTTAAATGAGCAAATTGTTTTCACAATATACTTACCATTAATTGCTAGTGCATTTTCTGTATCTACCGCATAGGTTCTGAGACAAATGAGGAAGCTCAAGTGGGACGATCCAGAGGTATGTTTTGACGAGTTAAGTGATTAGCATTATTGCCTGCCTGATAATCTTATGTTCCCTATTGGAAAAACAATAACTGAAGCTACCAGGTTGGCCCAGCCTTAAATGGGTTCTAAGAAATGTTTTGGGTTGTCAGTGTGGCCAGAGTGAGATAATTATTAGCTCTTAAATCAGGTTGTATATTATTTAAAACTATTGGACATAAATTTGCCTAGAAAAACCACACAACAGTCAGGGGCGGTTGGGGTTGGTTCTGCAATGTCCTGTAAAGGAGACGCAACTAACCTTATTATTTAAAGTTACTATTATTTTTAGAGATCAGTAACCAAACAGGTTGTTCACAGACTCCTTTTTTGTGTCCAGAAATTGTAAACAGAAAATGAATAAGTGATATTATCTAGGCATAAATTTTAAAAAGTATACATTCTCGATTTCAGATTGCTTTTTATGCAACCAAGTGTCTGACTGCCGTCTGGAACATTCGATACAACTCAGTCCACTGTGCAGCGAATCTTCTAGCAGGAATCGCTCCTTTCCATGTAATCACAAGTTGTTTTGTGTTTATGTTATTTCTTTGTCATTTGGTGTTTTGTTATGTGTTTTTTATGTTGTTTCTGTGTCATTAGGTAAACTGTAGTGTGCATTGTGAAGTGTGGGGTTCATGGCTTCACCTTTATAAAACATCTTTCAGTTTTTCACCTTATCTCATCTGGCTCGAGATTTCATAGGAAATTCCCCAGGATAGTCCTACAGTCTAGGAGGGTTAGGCTTAGGGTCACTCTTAGTCGCTGTTCATTTAACGCTAATGCTAAAACACTAAAACTCCTACATTCTAGACGTGTCATGTGTTGGTTCTTTTCAAAATTGTTATCAGTTATTGCGTCATAATTTCAATTGTTTCGTCGCCGTCACTTTGCCCTGTGTGGAAGCGTCCTTACTTTATGACTTGGCCTTCACCATAAATAACCCTAACGCTTGAATAGTCATTCACAGAAAAGAGAATTGCTCACTTTCATCTGAGAGGAAAGAAACCTGGGCACTTTTGTGATGGAGACAATGTGTCGACCCGGTCAAACAAATCCCTGTCACTTGATGGCATGCTGTATATACACGGCCACGACCATCGGCAATGAAGGCATGTTTTAACACCCTAGACTTAGGCACTGTCTCAGAGAATTCCCTATGGAATCTTGCGCTGGATGAGATGGGATGAAAAACCTGAATAGAACCCCTTTTTCTATCATAAACAGATACCGAGCAGATGGAGCTGGTCAGCTGGGGACAGCAGTCCATCTTAGAGAAGGTACTTCTAATCACAAACTCCCATTGTCCAGTAGAAAGGTCTTGGTTGACCATGGACTTGGAAAGCTTATCCTAACAGAAAAGTATGCTAAAATTAGAAATGCTAGACCAAAAGGTGTACATAGTCCAGAAAGGTTTACCAGTGCACTTGTATACCAGGTACCAGTGATTATTAAGACTTCCAAACATAATTATGCATTGATCACTGGCATCATGAGGGCTAATTGACTGAAATGGCTCAGGCATATTGATAGTATGTCAGGGGACAGAGAGGTAAAATAACTAAACGAGAGAGTTGAATGGTCATAAACCATGAAGCAGACCAAGAAGACGATGGAGAAATAATATCCAGACAGACCTACAAACACTTGGTATCAGTTTCTTTCCAAAGACCAGACAGTGGTATTCCTAGTGCAGTGACTGCACTCTACGGACACAACAAATGATTGACCCTTGACCTGCCACTGGCACATCAGGCAAATGGTGCTGTAGCCTATTTTGTGTGGATTAGTCAGCACCCAAAATGGGGAACATCATGCCAATCACACTTTTACTTCCCAGGAAATGGCTTGGTCAAAATGGGAGTCTAGATCATTATTACACAAGCTCCTGAGTCACATTCACTGACTACATCAGGAAATAGTCAGTCACTGTCAAACTGTGTAGCCATTTTATTGTTGTACCGTTGCAGGAACATTTGGCAATACACAAGATAGTCAGTCACTGTCAAACTGTGTAGCCATTTGATTGTGGTACCGTTGCAGGAACATGTGGCAATACACGAGATAGTCAGTCACTGTCAAACTGTGTAGCTTTTGATTGTTGTAATGTTGCAGGAACATTTGGCAATACAGGAGATAGTCAGTCACTGTCAAACTGTGTAGCCATTTGATTGTGGTACCGTTGCAGGAACATGTGGCAATACACGAGATAGTCAGTCACTGTCAAACTGTGTAGCCATTTTATTGTTGTACTGTTGCAGGAACATGTGGCAATACACGAGATAGTCAGTCACTGTCAAACTGTGTAGCTTTTGATTGTTGTACCGTTGCAGGAACATTTGGCAATACACGAGATAGTCAGTCACTGTCAAACTGTGTAGCCATTTGATTGTTGGACCGTTGCAGGAACATGTGGCAATACACGAGATAGTCAGTCACTGTCAAACTGTGTAGCCATTTGATTGTTGTACCGTTGCAGGAACATGTGGCAATACACGAGATAGTCAGTCACTGTCAAACTGTGTAGCCATTTGATTGTTGTACCCTTGCAGGAACACGTGGCAATACACGAGATAGTCAGTCACTGTCAAACTGTGTAGCCATTTGATTGTTGTACCGTTGCAGGAACATGTGGCAATACACGAGATAGTCAGTCATGTTAAACTGTGTAGCCATTTTATTGTTGTACCGTTGCAGGAACATGTGGCAATACACGAGATAGTCAGTCACTGTCAAACTGTGTAGCCATTTTATTGTTGTACCGTTGCAGGAACACGTGGCAATACACGAGATAGTCAGTCACTGTCAAACTGTGTAGCCATTTGATTGTTGTACCGTTGTAGGAACATGTGGCAATACACGAGATAGTCAGTCATGTTAAACTGTGTAGCCATTTTATTGTTGTACCGTTGCAGGAACATGTGGCAATACACGAGATAGTCAGTCACTGTCAAACTGTGTAGCCATTTTATTGTTGTACCATTGCAGGAACACGTGGCAATACACGAGATAGTCAGTCACTGTCAAACTGTGTAGCCATTTGATTGTTGTACCGTTGCAGGAACATGTGGCAATACACGAGATAGTCAGTCATGTTAAACTGTGTAGCCATTTTATTGTTGTACCGTTGCAGGAACATGTGGCAATACAGGTTGTTGATGGTGTCCTCGAGGACATTAGGCTGGGAATGGAGGTATGCATTGTTGTTTGCTTTATAAAGTTGTTTGCCAAGTTGTAAAAACTTCATCATCATCATCAACATCATCATCATCATCATCCTGTTGTGCTGTTTACACAGGATATAGGGTTCGCAGCTATTTGCTCCATTTCATTTTGTCCTGTGCATTTCTGTTGATATTGTTTATGGATTTTTATGGATGTTTATGGCACCTCCGGCCTCTTTCTTCAGGGCTCAACTTGGGGTTTCTCTCTTGGCTGTTCTCACTTTTTTTGAATAATGTGTCTACCATTTAAATGCTTGTTTTGCGATTCTCTGGCACCCTTTTTTTTAAATCTGAGAATGTAGCCAGTATATTGCCATCTTCTTTCTTTTATAATTGTTGATACTAGTGATTGTCCAGACTTTAAAAAAACAAAAAAGACTTAATGAACACAAAACATAAGTAGCAATCTCAGTGCAAGGAAACACAGATAGAAAGAAACACATTTTTGTGGCTTGTCTTTCTCCTGTATTTAAAAAACACACACTCCCACAACAGGAATAACTAGATGGTAATAGTCAACAGACCATCTTGACCCACATATCAAACCATTGAGTAAATAAATGCTTGAATTTCCTCAATTTTATATCCTGCATCAAGCAGCAGCTGAGCACACCAGTTATGTGTTGATTTATTAGTCTTATTTGACTTCCTGCATAGTGCTTTCGTCTGGCCTCAATCCTTGTCATTTGGTGTTCTTTACAGATCCAGTCATTGCTTGGTTCTTGCAAACATCTTCCTTCTCATGGAGCATTCAGTATGTGGGTCTGATCTGGGTTCTGACAGGGCCAGACCTTTTTTTTTTTTCAAATGACCCCTTGTTTTCCAGATTGACCCAGCCTTGAGTGGGTGCCAGTATAGTCCTGGGAAGTAAAGGTGGCCAGCATGAGTGTCGACCACATCACACACAGAGTGCCGATTGGTATATAAAATATAGATCTAGCCCTATATGCTCAATTTGCCCAAAGCTCTAGAAAATAATCCTTTTCTTTGCTTTTACTTAAAAGAACAGTTCTTTAACTGAATATTACTTCAAAATGTTATCACTTGTTCTATTTCTGTAAAGGAGTTGCAGGCAGTTAATCGTAAATGCCTGTTTTGCATTGGTTCTTTACAGATCAACCACCCAAAGTATAACCAGCGGCGTGTCAGTTGCATGAAGTACCTGGGTGAGCTGTACAACTACCGGATGGTGGAGTCTTCAGTCATCTTTAAGATGCTGTACTCCTTGATCACATTTGGTGTATCACTGGATGGTAGGTATCCTTGCTTCTGTTTCACTTTGGTTGGTGGAGGCTGGTGCAAGGCAAATGTTTATCTCTGACTGACTTCTTCCTTTACCTACAACAGCGGTTTTCAGCCTGTGGGTTGCCACCTCTTTTTGGATCGAATGACTCTTTCACAGGGGTTGCAAAAGACCATCGCGAAACAAATATTAATTAAAGTTATGATGTAGTGACAAAAATAATTGTTTGGTTGGGGGTCGCCATAATATGGGAAAGTTTATGAAAGGGTCGCCAAAACATGAGGAAATGTATTAAAGTGTCGCTGCATAAGGAAGGCTGAGAACCACTTATCTACAAGGTTGTCCAGTTACCATGCATTGCTAGATTTAAGGTGGGTGGACATATTTTTTATTGTTATTAGACAGGAACTCCTATTTTTTGCCCTTATCAGAGAAGACTAGGCCTCCAGTCCACTACCCAATTTTAAGATAAGACTGTAATAATTATGTTGAAAAGAGATAATTCTCCTTTACTTGATAAGCTGAAGTTGAAGACTGATATCATTCCTGCAAGCCAGTCTGACACACTCTTTAAAATGCTCGCTAGCACACACATACATGCTCACACTGTTGCTAGATAGAACACATTATGGAAACCTGTTAATAATATAGTTAGAATATCCTTTCAGTAGAATCTACAGTGCATAGGAGATATGAGGGAGACAAAAATAGTTTAGAGAAAAAACCAGAGGCAGCAAAAAATGATATGGGCAGGATATGCACTGAGCTGCAGGAAATAGCAAAAAATAGATGCTCTTCTTTTCCACTCTTTCATAACATTATGTTGTAGAGGTTTGTGCTCAGTTATGGTTATAGATGAAGTTCATCCTCTCCACAGCACAAAACCTTTGCAGTATTTAGAGACTATGTCTTGCCCATACAGCATAATCAGTCTCTCGACTGGAAAAATGACACTGATATGTTTGGAACAAAGCATGCTTCAAAAGCTACCTTATCATTAGAGAAGTGCTCTATCTGTCTGCTTGTGAGAGCTTCCAGACCAACTGCCAGTCAAGGCTAAGGGCCTGTCTTATCCTGCCATAACATTACATTTTCAGGCTGCATTTCCCCATCCTGGGATAAGACTGGTATCCTTCCTAAAATTCTTCTCCGCATGAAGCCATAAGACTCTTCTCTGCCCCAAGCCATAAGCAAAACACAGTATCTCATGTTTGGTTAACACTGCCCAACATTCAGCGTTTACAGAAAACAGGCAGTATTGACTACTGATATATATGGTAGTTTAGTCAGACATGACCAAGACCAGATTTCAAAGTCCTGAAAATGACTTCAGAGCTCTAATGAAGCTATAAAAGGTAGAAGAAGAGGGGAATAAAAGTTAGAAGTAGAAAGACCTAGAAGGACCTATAATATCTTCAGAATTACTTTGGATAGTATGAGGAATGCTTTAGTAGTCTTGGCTCATCTCACCTTAGTTCTCTGGTGCATTGTATGTCGAGGCGAAGAATAGAATGCAGGAAAATGCCCATCTGTGTGCTTTGTATTTGTACATGGGGGTTCTCAGGGACTGTATTGTATTTCCTCTGTTCCCGGTGTGGGTTTTGGGGCCTTATTGTGGTGGTGGGGGGAGGGGGGGGGGGGGGTAGATCCGCTACCACCAACAAGCATATCATAAGAGTCAACTAATTAGGGGTGTTTCCTTTTGAAGGCAGAGTGCATCTACATGAGACGCAAGGCACCAACAGTCTACAAATAAGCCACATCAACAGTCTACAAATAAGCCACATCAACAGTCTACAAATAAGCCATATCAACAGTCTACAAATAAGCCACATCAACAGTCTACAAATAAGCCAGATCAACAGTCTACAAATAAGCCAGATCAACAGTCTACAAATAAGCCAGATCAACAGTCTACAAATAAGCCACATCAACAGTCTACAAATAAGCCAGATCTATCAAACGGATGTGCACATAAAACTTAGATTCTGATCAAGACCGGAATTCCAGAAGTGGATGAACACCCAGAACTTTCCACTAAACAGCCATTGAATGCAAAAGGACGAAGAAGATTTCGTCTGTCCATTGTTTACATGGTTGATTTCTCTTTTTATTTTCACTTGGTTTATGTGTCATTACTCATTGTCCCGGGAAAGGGGGAGGGGGGTAGATAGATAACACTGACCTTAACTCTTTCAGACACATGGGTTTAGCACAGAGGCCTAAGGGATAGTAAAAAGAGATGTAAATGGTCACTTCTTGCATTTACTGGGCTTCTAGGTATACATCTTTGAATGTATAATGTGTTCCTTGGAACTGAAAGAGTTAACATACATGTTATGAAGTTGACTATTTAATAGTTTGCTGAAATCAGAACTAAGGCATTTTACAAAATGATGAATATCTTATGCAGTTTTTCTTTGGAGATGTGGTTTTTATAGACGAAGGATTAGAATACTCTAGACAGATAAAAAGAGTAATGAAGATGTCTTGAAAGAAACTGACTGACGAAGACAACTAATTTTCCACATCAGAAAGAGACGATCAGCATTCTTTGGTCGTGTCATGAGAGGGAGAAAACTGGAGTGCATGGCAACAGTAGGGAGACCAGGAGAAAAGATGCTGGACAGTTTGATATCATGGCAGGGAGGATCATCTGCATCAGAGTTGACTAAAAGTACACGAGACAGAAGGTTAAGGATAGACATGACTACCAATGCCACATGGCAAGAAATCAGAACTGCTAAAAGACCCCAACAATTGCAGCCGTAAGCCATGAGCAGTCAGCAAATGCTGGGGTCTATGACATTCTGTAAAGGATATGCAACTAATCTGTATTATTATGCTGTGCAGGAAATTATGCTATTTTAATATTGTTTTTACAGAGAAAGCGGTGAACCCGTTAGACACACCTGAGCACCTGTTTCGCATAAGGCTGGTCTGTGTGCTTTTGGAGACTTGTGGGCAGTTCTTTGATAAGGGATCTAGTAAGAAGAAGCTGGACTGTTTTCTTGTTTATTTCCAGGTATTTCTGAGTTGTTTGTAACTGATATCATTTGTGTGTGTGTGTTTGTGTGTGCATGCATGGGTGCTTTGCATAAGCATCTGTTTTACAGACCTGGCTTTTTTACATATAGACTGTTGGTTCCTCACCTCTTAGTTATGCACTTTGAAAGAAACGCCCGCAATTAGTCGCCTGCTACAATTTACTTGCTAAGAGGGCAGTGAGTCTGTTCTTTCCGTACTCAAAATGGGACCATGGAATACACGCTGGGATAATTAATTCTGTTTGTGTCTCTTCTAGTAAAATAATTGTCGACATTATTCTGTTTGAAAAAAAAAAAAATTTTTATGCATCTTCACAAGGAAGTTTGCCTGCGGTGAATTTGTACTTCTGCTGTATCTTTGGGAATATTACGTGGTGAGGTCTCGATCCTGTTGACAGTGCGACTCTCTTAGCACTGTCTGAAAGGCACGAGAACAGTCTTATTTTAAACCTCCCTATGCAATCCCTAACCTGTAAACACGGAGTTGCACATTTATTTATTGCATCTTCCATTAAATGTAATTAATAATAAAAAATAAAAAAAGTATTATATTTCTTGATAAATAATTATTATAATTTTAAATGATTATAACTGAATAATTATAATTCTTATAAAATGTAAAATGTATTTGTGTTGAAATAAAATAAATATTGCAGTATAGAATGCATAAGTCAGAGCTTTCTTTTGTTAGTACACAATGGTACACAGTGGCGACATCTTCTCTTTGAGTCCCAAGGAACGCATGATATGCTCATAGGTTCCCACCTAGAAGCCCAATGAACGCATGATGAGCCGATTTTATTACTTTCTTTACTACCCCCTGGGCCTGTGATGCTAAACCCCCTGGGACTCAAAGAGTTAAAAGGGATTTTTAAAATCCATTCTGTAATAGACACTGTGTTGATAACTGGTGCATTTTTTAAATATTTTTTTGTGAGCAGTGGCACCTTCTTTTTCTCTCAAGGCAAAAAAGCCCTGGCATAAGTTATAGGAGCTTTTAGAGCCCTGTTTATGTAAGCTTTTGCATATCATCATCATCATCAAGTGCCTTGCCAGTCGGCGTAGGTGTTCATGCATCTCCACAGATCACAGTCTTTGGTGTTGTGGATAAATTCCACTGATGATATTCCTCCATACCACTGTCTTAAGCCATCCACCATCGATTCTCTTGGTCCGCCTCTGTCATTTTCTACCAGTGAACTTTCCAGTCATCACTATATTTTCTAGTGCTCCTTTTCTCATCACATGACTAAAGAACTTTGTCTCTTTCTCATTGTTGTATATAATGTTCTACTTTCATTGGCAATTTCCATGCACTCCATTGTTAGTTATTCTGTGAGTCCAAGGTATTCGCAACATTCTTCTTAAGAACAACATCTCAGTTGCCTCCAGATTCTTCTTAGTTTGTTTGCTCACACTCCAAGATTCACTGCCATACAACAGAACAGGTTTCACATAACATTTTAGTACACGTTTTGCACATACGTTTGTTATAAATGGTATGTCCATTCTTGTTTCAAGCGCTACTACTGGTTCAAGAAGAGTCATCCAGCGTTCGATGAGAATCATCCTTTTCCTATTGATGTGGATAACATGATGAGTGAAACTCTGGAGATAGTCAGGCCTAGACTGATCCCATATATGTCCTACAAGGAAGCTTGTGAGGCTGCTGAGAGCTTAGAGAATGAATACAGAGCTAAAATTGGCAAGTGACACTCCTCTGTTATTTTTTGTGTGGGAGGGGAAGGGGAGGGGTATTTGCTGGCTGTATTTGTAATCTGTAACTATGCTACCAGTGCTAGACATTGTCACAACAAACCAGAAAAAAAGTGTGTAACCATTGAATTCAGATTCTGGGAAGAGCTGCAGGATTGACCAGAATAGATGGGGGTTCCAGTGTTATTTTTAGCAACATGCTTAGGTTTTTAGAGATCTTAAAAAACCAGAATTAGTTTTATTAAAGGTTGGGAGTGATTATAAAGGAACTAAATTTAGTGGGAATTTCCCACTCATGTCGTTAATGTGATGGCATAGCTTTCATCCTTCTGCTGCTTCATATTAATTGTAATTATGTATCCATGAGTAATTAAATTCAATGGTTTGCTACATATATTTAGAAACTTGAGATATTTTAAAAAGTAAATGCAATCATTTCAAAATCAATTAAAAGTATTTCATACACTTCTAAAGATTTTAATTAGTAAAATTTAAAATTTGAGCAATTTTTATGTCGTTGTTTTATTTAAAACAGCCAGTGTTCTTTCCATGATTGATACTGGAGATGAAGGAATAGATGTCGAGGAAGGCATGGATGAAGAAGATGATGAAGAAAACCTGTGCACTATTTTGGAAGGAGAAGAGAATGAAGAGGATCTGACCCTTTCTGGAGGAGTGACAGAAGGATCTGGAACTCAGGATAGTGAAACCAGCCTTAGCGGGGCTGATGCAGATGTGAGTTCTTTCTTTCTTCAATTAAAATTATAGTAGATGTTAGTTGAAAACAAACCGTATTTTCCTATGTATAAGACGATATGTTTCCCAAATTGTTTAAGTTTAAAATTAGGGTTGGTCTTGTACACGGAATCTGTTTAAAATATTTATTTCTTAATTTTGGGCTAGAAAACTCTGGGTCGTCTTATATGCTGAAGAAATACTGTAATCCCTCATGTAGGTTTTAGGGAGCTCATTTATCATGTGTGTGTGTGTTTGTGTGTGTGTGTGTGTGTGAGAGAGAGAGAGAGAGAAAAGAGAGAGAGAGAGAGAGAGAGAGAAAGAGAGAGAGAGAGAGAGAGAGAGAGAGAGAGAAAGAGAGAGAGAGAGAGAGAGAGAGAGAGAGAGAGAGAGAGAGAGAGAGAGAGAGAAAAAGAGAGAGAAAAAGAGAGAGAAAAAGAGAGAGAGAGAGAAAGAGAGAGAGAAAGAGAGAGAGAGAAAGAGAGAGAGAGAGAGAGAAAGAGAGAGAGAGAGAGAAAGAGTTTACTGTGAGCTTCTTTGCAAGTCACAGTGCATCTGCCTGAGCGGCAAGGAACAAACAAATGCACACAAATAAGCCAGTCAAACGGATGTACTTGCAAAACTTGGGCCTTGGCACAGAGCCAGAGCCCAAATGGGCGAACAACCAGAAGTTTCCGCTGCAGCTTGCAGCTGGTGAACAGGAAGAAGAATGAGAATCAGCAGGACCTTTACAAAACTTTCTTTACACATGCCTAAAAGTTTCTCTTTCTGTAGCCAATTCTCGAACCCCATGTGCTTTCATAGACAGTGCATCTTCAGTATTTTGTATCCATATTATTCGCTAAGGTCTGTCTCTGCCCGTTTTCCCAGAAACTACCTTCCATCGATGTTCTCCAAGAAAATGTATTGTATAGTTCATATAGTGGGTATGCTCATCTAAGTGGTTAAACCTGTCACCTTGACCTCTGAAGGTCATGGTTTTGTTTTAGGGGCCAAATCTTTTTGTTCACAAGTATAATTTGTATGGCGATCCCTGGTGATTGTAGCTGAAACTATGAAGTTTGTGCTTTGTCTGATACTGTCAGCAGGCAGCCTGCCATTCTGCTGAGAAAGACTGAGCCTTTTGGGATAAAACATAGTGTATAATGAAAGGAATCTTCTTGACCTTAAAGCTGTAATCTTTAGTACAGTTATTATTAAATGTATTTATTCTTTATTCATCTGAATGACTTTGTTTCAGCCAGTTGGCTAATTGCATTCATAAAATCAGTTCAGTCCATTTTTTCATATAGTATCAACACCAACCAGTGTACTACTCTTTCAGTGTGCACTCATCAGAATATTCTAGTATTAAGATGCATTAGTTGAACTGAGTTGTGGTAAGGACAAACAAACAGCACTCAGGACATTTCCATAAGTGCTCCATCCCCATCTCCAGTAGTCCCCGCTGAGTTCCAATTCTGATGGTACTATTAAGTGTCTGATTGTATATCCATCTTGCCAACTCTGAATGTTGAGAGTCTGCCATATTTCCTGAAATGGTTTCAGGCCTAATTTGTGTGGCGGAATCAGCATAACTATTTCATGGTTCATTAGTTGCCCATGTGTTACCGGGGCTCTTTGGGGAGTCAGGGAATAGTAATACTGCACCCTACCAAGCATGTCATAAGAGGTGACTAAGGGTCAGCTTGGTCTTGGGCATGGATATTCCATCCTGTAAAAAGCTGAGCTGAAAATGTGAACCAGTTGTAAGTTGTTGTCCCTATATGCGTTCCAGGACCCAATTTTGGTGGAAAAATGAAAGACCCCCCTCCCAACAATGCAAGAATTGAATGAACGGCAAGTACTTTTCACCAGAGTTTACAGCCAAACTCATCTTCTATTTCACATTCAATGGCTGTAAACACTGGCACAAGTTCTGGTCTAGTTTACTTCTGGCATATTGTCTCAGATTCTTTAACAGCAGCAGCAGTATGGGCATATGAACAGTTATATATCTATCTGTGTTATTGTTCTGACCTTTTCCCCTTACCATGTGGTCTGGTATGTTTTGCAGCAGGTGGTTGATGTTCACAATCAACATCATCATTGACATCATTATTAGAAAATTCAAAGTCAAAATCTTAGTCATCACTAGACTTTACCTTTTTCTTCATCTAACAACCGTTGCATAAAATCTTAAACCGGAGTTTTTGACATGCTTTGAGCTCTGTCTGCAGTGGATGTTGAAGGGTTGAAGATAATTTTTTTAAGGAAGATCACACATAAATTGTAACACACTGATTTATTTAAATTTAAAAAACTTGAAAAATAATCCTCTCACTTGCCTACACTTTGAAAATGGAAAATACTTTGTTGCACTCATTATGCTTTAAAAAAAAAAAACAACAGGTTAATACAAATTCATTTTATTAGTAAATAAAACAATATTGGAGTGTCTGTGTAGGAAATTACTGAATCGGTGATATGCCTAAACATAACCAATTCTATTGCCAACTAATTGGTGGTATGTTTGGAAAGAGTTCATACCTTTTTCTTCTTCACCACTTCAGGTGTCGAGTGAGTTTCTTGCTTTTCTTGCCGCCACAGACACACCATGTTGTAATTTTTCCAATGTTATATTTCCATCTTGTTCTTGGTCTACCTTATGCTCTACATCTTTCTTCTGTTGGTATATGACTTGTATTAAATGGCATCACATTTCTGTTAATTTCACTTTTCAGGTTAGAATATTTGAGTGTTGTTTGTTGTGACCTGAAACTTTATATGTGCTAATTTCAGGAACGTGAGGGTGAAGGTAAGGATGGAGAATCTTCCAGTGATGAGTATGATGACTCCGATGTGGGAGGGGATGAAAATGATGAGGTAAGCTTAGATACTTTAGTGTATTTTATTTTTGTGTTTATTTAGCTAAAAGAAACAAAGCCTTGTTACAGACTTTTGAGAATAGAATCTTACGACGAATCCTTGGAGATGCAGTAGGTGAAGAATGGAGAGTGAGAAGCAACAAAAAAATTCATCATCTGTTTATATCACTACTAATTATTGCAACATGAAGGTTAATAGACTGATGGTTGGGACATATAGAGAGAATGGCCATTAACAGAGAGAGAGGAAAGCTGCCATGCAAAATGTATTGAATGGGGATAGACTGTGAGGCAGACCACAAATACGGTGGAGAGTAATGTACAGGTAAACCTATAAACACTTGGAGTAATCAACTGGAAAGAGAAGGCCAATTGCAGAGAAGAATAGAGGCGAGTGAATACTGTAGCCGTGAACCTCACTGGCTCAGAATGCTGAAGTAGAAGAGAAGTTTGTGTTATTTTCCGGTTTCTTTTGTTGAACTTTACCTTTAGCAAAATTAATCATTGGGTGCTATGGACCTTTATTAAGATAATTTGCTGAATCTTCTAAATGGTTTTTCTGTTGAGATGAAAAATAAAAAATCACTAACCTGGACAGTCCAGGGTGGCATTATTAGCCATGCGGCATTAAATCCTCAGTCTTAGACCCCACCAGCCTACTTAAAAATTTGCTGCATATCCATTACAGGGTATTGCAGAGCCAAACGCCTGCATTTTTTAAATGGCTGTTTGCGATTTTACTGGGAAATTTTAGTCTAGGATTTTACCATTGCTTCCAAGCTTCCTAAACAATCTGCACTGCATACCGCTGTTGAAATCAATGCAAAATGGTCCGCTGTCAAAATGCCTGCAACTGGAATTTTACTGGGTATAACAAAATGCCCCAGCCACAGAGGTTGACCAACCATCTACACCATCCTGCCAGGATTATATACTTTAGATTTTAACATGCTAGGAGGGCCTTTGATTTGCTGGTTTGAAAAATGCAGGCAGATAGGGGAAACTAAGTAAATAAAAGTGTTTAAAAATAAAAGACTTGGTAATGTAAATGTTAATCACTGATGACCCAACAGAGAGACAGACAGACAGACAGACAGACAGACAGACAGACAGACAGACAGACAGACAGACAGACAGACAGACAGACAGACAGACAGACAGACAGACAGATAGACAGACAGGACAGAACAGACATGACAGGAGAGGATGGACAGGACAGGACAGGCAAGACAGACAGACAGGACAGACAAGACAGGAGAGAGAGAAAGAGAGAGAGAGAGAGGAGAGAGAGAGAGAGAGAGAGAGAGAGAGAGAGAGAGAGAGAGAGAGAGAGAGAGAGAGAGAGAGAGAGAGAGAAAGTCCCTTCTCCACCTCTAATCGGCAGCAGAGGAAACTGATCGCTTTTTATGAATTTTGGCTGAGAAATCAGGGATTGACCAAGAGAGACATCATCATCCTAGACTAGTGGTTCTCAACCTTCCTAATGCCTTGACCCTTTAATACAGTTCCTCATGTTGTGGGGACCCTTTAATACAGTTCCTCATGTTGTGGGAACCTTTTAAAACAGTTCCTCTTGTTGTGGGGACCCTTTAATACAATTCCTAATGTTGTGGGGACCCTTTAATACAGTTCCTCATGTTGTGGGAACCCTTTAATACAGTTCCTCTTGTTGTGGGGACCCTTTAATACAATTCCTAATGTTGTGGGGACCCTTTAATACAGTTCCTCATGTTGTGGGAACCCTTTAATACAGTTCCTCTTGTTGTGGGGACCCTTTAATACAATTCCTAATGTTGTGGGGACCCTTTAATACAGTTCCTCATGTTGTGGGGACCCTTTAATACAGTTCCTCATGTTGTGGGGACCCTTTAATACAGTTCCTCATGTTGTGGGGACCCTTTAATACAGTTCCTCTTGTTGTGGGGACCCTTTAATACAATTCCTAATGTTGTGGGGACCCTTTAATACAGTTCCTCATGTTGTGGTGACCCTTTAATACAGTTCCTCATGTTGTGGGGACCCTTTAATACAGTTCCTCATGTTGTGGGGACCCTTTAATACAGTTCCTCATGTTGTGGCGTCCCTTTAATACAGTTCCTTTTGTTGTGGCAACCCTTTAATACAGTTCCTCATGTTGTGGCGACCCTTTAATACAGTTCCTCTTGTTGTGGCAACCCTTTAATACAGTTTCTCATGTTGTGGCCACCCTTTAATACAGTTCCTCATGTTGTGGGGACCCTTTAATACAGTTCCTCATGTTGTGGCGACCCTTTAATACAGTTCTTCATGTTGTGGCGACCCTTTAATACAGTTCCTCATGTTGTGGCAACCCTTTAATACAGTTCCTTATGTTGTGGCAACCCTTTAATACAGTTCCTCATGTTGTGGCGACCCTTTAATACAGTTCCTTATGTTGTGGCAACCCTTTAATACAGTTCCTCATGTTGTGGCGACCCTTTAATACAGTTCCTCATGTTGTGGCAACCCTTTAATACAGTTTCTCTTGTTGTGGCGACCCTTTAATACAGTTCTTCATATTGTGGCAACCCTTTAATACAGTTCCTCATGTTGTGGCAACCCTTTAATACAGTTCCTCATGTTGTGGCGACCCTTTAATACAGTTCCTCATGTTGTGGCAACCCTTTAATACAGTTCCTCATGTTGTGGCGACCCTTTAATACAGTTCCTCATGTTGTGGCGACCCTTTAATACAGTTCCTCATGTTGTGGCGACCCTTTAATACAGTTCCTCATGTTGTGGGGACCCTTTAATACAGTTTCTCTTGTTGTGGCGACCCTTTAATACTGTTCCTTATGTTGTGGCAACCCTTTAATACAGTTTCTCATGTTGTGGCGACCCTTTAATACAGTTCCTTATGTTGTGGCAACCCTTTAATACAGTTCCTCATGTTGTGGCGACCCTTTAATACAGTTCCTCATGTTGTGGCGACCCTTTAATACAGTTTCTCATGTTGTGGCCACCCTTTAATACAGTTCCTCATGTTGTGGGGACCCTTTAATACAGTTCCTCATGTTGTGGCGACCCTTTAATACAGTTCCTCATGTTGTGGGGACCCTTTAATACAGTTCCTTATGTGGGGACCCTTTAATACAGTTCCTCATGTTGTGGGGACCCTTTAATACAGTTCCTCATGTTGTGGAGACCCTTTAATACAGTTCCTCATGTTGTGGGGACCCTTTAATACAATTCCTAATGTTGTGGGGACCCTTTAATACAGTTCCTCATGTTGTGGGGACCCTTTAATACAGTTCCTCATGTTGTGGTGACCCTTTAATACAGTTCCTCATGTTGTGGCGACCCTTTAATACAGTTCCTCATGTTGTGGCGACCCTTTAATACAGTTCTTCATGTTGTGGCGACCCTTTAATACAGTTCTTCATGTTGTGGCGACCCTTTAATACAGTTCTTCATGTTGTGGCGACCCTTTAATACAGTTCTTCATGTTGTGACGACCCTTTAATACAGTTCTTCATGTTGTGGCGACCCTTTAATACAGTTCCTCATGTTGTGGTGACCCTTTAATACAGTTCCTCATGTTGTGGCGACCCTTTAATACAGTTCCTCATGTTGTGGCGACCCTTTAATACAGTTCCTCATGTTGTGGCGACCCTTTAATACAGTTCCTCATGTTGTGGCGACCCTTTAATACAGTTCCTCATGTTGTGGTGACCCTTTAATACAGTTCGTCATGTTGTGGCGACCCTTTAATACAGTTCCTCATGTTGTGGCAACCCTTTAATACAGTTCCTCATGTTGTGGCGACCCTTTAATACAGTTCCTCATGTTGTGGTGACCCTTTAATACAGTTCCTCATGTTGTGGTGACCCTTTAATACAGTTCCTCATGTTGTGGTGAGCCTTTAATACAGTTCCTCATGTTGTGGCGACCCTTTAATACAGTTCCTCATGTTGTGGTGACCCTTTAATACAGTTCCTCATGTTGTGGTGACCTTTTAATACAGTTCCTCATGTTGTGGTAACCCTTTAATACAGTTCCTCATGTTGTGGTGACCCTTTAATACAGCTCCTCATGTTGTGGTGACCCTTTAATACAGTTCCTCATGTTGTGGTGACCCTTTAATACAGATCCTCATGTTGTGGTGACCCTTTAATACAGCTCCTCATGTTGTGGTGACCCTTTAATACAGATCCTCATGTTGTGGTGACCCTTTAATACAGTTTCTCATGTTGTGGTGCCCCTTTAATACAGCTCCTCATGTTGTGGTGACCCTTTAATACAGTTCCTCATGTTGTGGCGACCCTTTAATACAGTTCCTCATGTTGTGGCGACCCTTTAATACAGTTCCTCACGTTGTGGCGTACCTTTAATACAGTTCCTCATGTTGTGGTGACCCTTTAATACAGTTTCTCATGTTGTGGTGACCCTTTAATACAGATCCTCATGTTGTGGTGACCCTTTAATACAGTTTCTCATGTTGTGGTGACCCTTTAATACAGTTCCTCATGTTGTGGTGAGCCCCAGCATAAAACTATTTTTGTTGCTACTTCATAACTTCAGTGAATATGTTTTCTGATGGTCTTTGGCGACCCCTGTGAAAGTGTATTTTGACCCACAAAAGGGTCGCAACCCACAGGCTGAGTACCGCTATCCTAGACTGATACATCATTATCCTAGACTGATACATCATTATCCTAGACTGATACAAGGCTGGTAATTGTTACCCATCACACCTATGTTTACTAGCGTAGCACATGATGATGATTTGAGACTTACATAGATTTCTGTCTTGTGTATTGCTAGGTGAAAGTCGTTAAGCCGCAGCAGACTGTTAGCAAAGAGGATGAAGATTTCATGGCAGCATTAGACCAGATGTTGAACGATACAATCCAGGTTAGTGGTTTGTAACATCACAGTTCTTCTTTTTCTTTGTTAATCCAAAAAACAATTTGGTCACCTCTTACAACATGCCTGTCCTCCCCTATTAGCTGCGATGTTTGAGCCTTTCAGCCAACACATCCAACTTCTGCAGATTTGTTGGTCGGGCTAGCCTTCCCAGTTATCATGAATGTGTGTATAGTCATTATTATTTGATCATTATGTTGTTATGATGATGATTATATAACATTAGCCTATTTGGATGTGACAGTGAAGAAATATAAATAAGACATGAAGGGCAGAATTTTGGGTGGCTCCAACTGTCGAGTTTTTATCTCTTTCCCCCTTTCTGTCTCTTTGTATGTGTCTGTCTGTCCACTTTCCCCATCAGCTTATTTTTCTTTTCCGTCTCATACCTGTGTCTCTCACCCCCATCTCTCACCCCCATCTCTCACCCCCATCTCTCACCCCCATCTCTCACCCCCGTCTCTCACCCCCATCTCTCACCCCCATCTCTCACCCCCATCTCTCACCCCCATCTCTCACCCCTGTCTCTCACCCCCATCTCTCACCTCTGTTTCTCACCCGTCTCTCACCTCTGTTTCTCACCCCCATCTCACCCCCATCTCTCACCCCCATCTCTCACCCCCATCTCTTACCCCCATCTCTCACCCCTGTCTCTCACCCCCATCTCTCACCCCCATCTCTCACCCCCATCTCTCACCCCCGTCTCTCACCCCCATCTCTCACCCCCATCTCTCACCCCCATCTCTCACCCCTGTCTCTTACCCCCATCTCTCACCTCTGTTTCTCACCCGTCTCTCACCTCTGTTTCTCACCCCCATCTCACACCCCCATCTCTCACCTCTGTTTCTCACCCCCATCTCTCACCTCTGCTCTCCTTTCCCGCCTCAACAGCTGGCTTATTGTATGTTTTTGTTTTCAATATTCTCTCCTGCACTCTAGGCTAGAACTCAAGAAGCCATCAAGGTTCCCCAGCTGGACATAGCACTTCCAACTCAGCTAAAAACTAAAAAGAAGATCTCAGGGGCAATAATTCCAGGTTGGTATCTTCTTTGATTTTAATTGAATTATACTCTAAAGCAGTTAAATGAGGTTCTAAGTTCATTGCGGACACGGATTGCCCCATGACTGCTCCTTTCCCGTGCTAGTGGAAATCACACAAAATATGACACCCCATTTAAAAACTAATGAAAAACATGTCAGTCCCAGCAAAATCTTGAAGCTCGCACACGCAAAGTAAATGCATTGGGTAGCCATCAGTGAGCCAGTACTTTTCCACCAGAATTGCAGCTCACTGTTGATGCAGGAAGTCAATTAGGAAAATTGACATTGTATTTGCAATATTGCATAAGTATGGAGCTTCATTCCAGAAATCATACAAAATGTCCTTCATTGTTCCATTTAAGACTAGTGAAAAACATCAGCCCCAGCAAAATTGTAGTAGCTCCCACACACAAAGTAAATACATAAGGTAGCAATCAAATCTGCCAGCACTAACAGTGCCAGTCCCACACCAAAATTGCTGCTCATTGTTGATGTAAGCAGTCAGTTAGATAGCCAACAGTGTACACACAATACTGCATAAGTACATGCCATTCTGAATGTAATCAGCCATCTGCCGTTTTTAGTGTAGGTACAACAGTAGAAAACCAATCCACATGAAATCCACAGTTCACAGTGTCGCACCAAGCACTCAGCTCAGTAGCTAGATGATAGAACCTATGGACTTCAGGTCAAGAAATGGAGAATTTGCATCAGTAAACCCTGGGAAGAAATAATCGTAATTGTGAAGCCAAACAAAAATGTCAAACTTTGTCCTCTTTCAGCTGCCCGGAGGCCTGCTTTATTGAAGACAGTTCCTTTGCTATCTGATTTTGAATTTGTTTCTGTGTGGCTATCATTTTCGCCTAAGTTTAGACTATTTGCTGCTACATCATGTCTGCGCGGTTAGGCTTGTGGGCGGTTTCCAGTTTTGGTCGGAGTGGATCTGGCAGCCCTAGAAAGGGCTGCCATTTTTGCCTTGGGCGGCCTGAAACGGGAATGGGCGGGGTCTAATCGTGGCTGTCTTCTGCTATCAGGTCTGGCGAACGCTTGGTGAGCTGTCCGTAAAGATGGCGGCGTAGTTAGTGGGCTCTCTTTAGTGTCTGCGCGATCTGTCTTCTGCTTTTATAGGTCGTTTTAAGCAGGTATGTGGTTCAAAACTGGCGATACCCTCTTCTGTTGGGCGTGCTATGTTTCCTTTGGTTTCTCTTTGTCTCACGCACTAGAGCAAGGGCTTCCTTAAGCTTATCGTAAAGTCGATTACAATTAAATAGTAAAGAAAAAAAAAATTTTTTTATAGTGTTTGTAGCCAGCCAGTTTTCCTCCATTTTGGTCTGGAAGTCACAGTGTAGCACTGTGCAGTCAAGGATTCTTTCGATGCCAGATAAGAAAAATGATGTTCCCTGTTGTTCAGTATGAAATTCTGTGTTGTATGAGCAAATGTCTAGAGATATGTTAGTTTCCGTGTTTGTTGTTGTATGAAGCAAATTTCTGGAGGTGTCTTACGGTCTTTTGTGTTTCATGTAACAGGACAGGCAGCCATTGATAAGGAAGATGACGACAGGGACAAGAACACAGGGCTCAAGTTTATGTTGATGACAAGGAAGGGAAATAAATCACAGGTTTGTGTATTTATTGTTGAGCATAGCAGTTATTTCATCAATAACCCTCATTTGTGTGTGTCTGTCTGTCTCTCTTTCTTTCTCTCTCTCTCTCTCTCTCTCTCTGTATATATATATATATATATATATATATATATATATATATATATATATATATATATATATATATATATATATATATATATATATATATATATATATATAGAGAGAGAGAGAGAGAGAGAGAGAGAGAGAGAGAGAGAGAGAGAGAGAGAGAGAGAGAGAGAGAGAGAGAGAGAGCGTAAAAAGTGGAAAGAGACAAGGCAGGAAGGAAAGAGATATTGTCGAATTACAGTGTTAATTTTTCAGTTCCAGGCTTCTCATTAGTGATTCTGAGAGGCAAGGAACCAACAGTCTGCATACAGATGAGTCAGATCTGTAAAAAGGATGCACACGCAACACTCAGGTTCTGGAACAGGACTCCTGTCCAGAAGTGGATGAACAGCCAGAACTTTCTGCCAGAGTTTACAGCTGGTGAACGCGAAGAAGAAGAAGATTAGTGATTCAATCAAATGATTTATTTCCTCTATTCTGTGAAAACACATGTTGATGAATATCTCTAGTTTATTAGTTAATTGTATTAGTTGTTCTGTATCTTTCCGTTCCATGTGGCAGTACTGATTTGACATAATTGAATTTTGCAGGTTTAATGCTAGTTTTACTTTTGTATGATTTCGACTCATTTTTAGTACTAAGAGTAGCATATATTTAATTTCAGCTCACAAATTTTGAAATCCCAATGACGGCAGAGTTTGCAACAAAGTTCAAGGAGCGAGAGGAGGTAACTGTTTCTCACTTTTGCTTGTGAAATTTATTTTATTTATTATGGTCTACACATGATGTGGCTAAAATTTAGATCACTCTTTGTTAGCTCATTCCTGCAGTTTGTGGCATTTGTCACAGGTTGGCTCTTAGAGTCATCTCTGTACTTTATTGTCTTTGTTTGAAGTCTTTGAAATATTATCTTTTCTTCATACAGTAAAAGTTGAGTTGATTCAAGAACCAACATTGCATCACTTGGGCATTCCCATAAGGGCTGCGTCGCAATCTTCAGCAGCCAGTTTCATACAGTGTGAAAAATCACCTCTGTTTTCTGCAGTCTAGGTCACTATAGCTGTAATATTTAACAACTATAATGTCCCTATAATGTGATCTTTGACAACTTATTTGTCATTATAATGTGATCTTTGTTAACTCATTTTCATGGGTGTTGAAAACCCTTCTCTTCAGAGTTTACACTTTGCCTCAGGGTTAAAACGTACAAGGTTTAAATATAGTCACATTTCTGTATATCTACATGCCATAAACCACCTCTGCCTTGTTGAAGTTCCTATAGAAACAAAGCTAGAGGGACAAAGCCACACAGAAAATGTGGGTAGGCTGAGTTCATAAGCCTTGAAAGTCAATCAGCCTATGGGAGGGGGAATGTGAAAGTAAATCTCAACCCTTAAAGTCGGAAAATGTCAGCTTACTTGGCACGAGACTAAAATCAGGCATCTGCGTACTAGCGATATGGTTATGCAAATAACATTATTATGTTATGGGTAATTTCTATGGGACATGGCCGGGTAGTGAGGGCGCCTGGCCCGCTGCCTTAAAGGAGCCCACTCCAAGCTACTAGAGCCACAACCTGTGAATCTTCTAGAGCGACCAGGGAAGAACAGAGCAGTGCAACTGGACACAAACTGACAATTTTGCACTGAAATGCTGAGGAAATGAGGCTAAAGAAAACAGAATTACAAATTTCTTGAAACAGCACAATATTGACTTGGCTATAGCAGCTGAGAATGTGGAGAAAGTTACCATATGGTGGGTATGTCAACAGCTGGGAGGCAGTAATCACAGGCAAAGAACCCTTCCAGCTGGAACTACAAGAAGGCTAACTAGAGCCCTTTCACTTCCTAGCTAGACGAAATGTTAAAAAGAGTCTTCTTTAAAAGATTTGTCTTGCCTTTCTCTGAGTGTAGAGTGTTGACCAGATCTCCTGGTCACTGCTTACTGCACCATTCTCTTTACACCATAATGATCTATTTGCACTTGTACATTATTCACTTACTCCCAAAGGGCCTTGACCACGTCTAGCTTTTCATGCATCACTTTACCACTCTCTTGTGTACCACCTGTCAGCCTGTCTGCCTGTTCATTTCCCACACACCTGTAGTTCCACAGAAAAGTTCCAAAGGGCACTAAATACTAGAGACATCTAAAGAGTTGTGTGCTTTTTTGCATGGAGCATGCCTTTCTGCACTTTTCCCAGCCACTGATGTTACAGAACTGAATGAAGCTATTTCCTTATATTGTATTGTGTCACCTACGACAATAAAAATAACCATGCAGATAAGGTGTATTACATTGTGAACATTAAAGCATCAAATTCAGTCACTTCTCTGCACTGTTTCAGGCTGAGAGACTGGAGAAGGAGAAGATGAAACAGATGGTCTTGAACTTGAATGAGAGGCAAGAGGAGGAAGAGTACCAAGGTAATTAGAGAATGTCAGGTGTAGACAAATGTAATATCTCAATAAAGATCCAAGGTGCTTAAAATTAGTTTGAGGTGAAAAGGTAGACTTCATTGCCCTTGAATTTATTCCCTCTGTCAGTGCATCAGATGTAAAGATTAGAGCTCAGTCTTTGATGATTTACAACCACACAGTCAGTGTATTTGTATTAAAAAATCTGAGTTCACTTTGCCTTATTGACCTTTGTTAACCTCTGTGTGTTTGTCAGTGAAGTTTGCAATAGTTAATCAGAGAGCTGCACACTTGGCTAGATGGAAAAGGGAGGAACAAAAACTAGCAAGATGACAATGGATTTTTCCCTGATAAACCAAACTGGAATGGCACCAACGTTGATCCAAACATTAGAGGCAAGAAACTTCCCAGGATGTAGAGGCCTATGGTATCATATTGAGCACACCACCCATCAGATGCTGAATGGTTCAGAAATACTGAGCTACTTACTTCTTACATTTTTACTTACTTTACTGATTACTTTACCATTTGCTCTGCTACTTACCTTACTAATTACTTTACTGCTTACCTTACTGCTTTCTTGATTGCTTACTTTACTACTAACCTAACTAATCACTTCACTGCTTGCCTTACTGCTTACTTACCTTACTGCTTACTTTACTACACACCTTACTGCTTGCTTGCACTAACCTTACTGCTTGCTTTACTACACACCTTACTTGCACTAACCTTGCTGCTGACCTTTCTACTTACATTACTTCTTACTTTACTACTTACTTTACTGCCCACCTTACTGCTTACTTCACTTCTGACCTTACTGCTTACTTTAATACCAACCTTACTGCTTACCTCACTGCTCACTTTACTACATACATTACTGTTTGCCTAACCTTACTGTTTTATTGTTTTCTTCACTACTTACTTCACTACCCACCTTACTGCTCACTTTACTACTTACTTTACTACACACCTTACTGCTTACATGCACTTACCTTACTGGTTACCTTTCTACTTACATTACTGCTTACCTTACTACTTACATTACTGCCTACTTTACTACCCACCTTACTGTTTACTTTAATACTAGCCCTACTGCTCACCTTACTGCTCACTTTACTACTTACCTTACTGTTTGCTTTACTACTTACCTTACTGCTTTATTACTTATCTTTTTGCTTGCTTTACTACCTACATTACTGCTTACTTTACTACTTACCTATTTTATTGCTCATCTTACTGCTTACTTTACTACTTACCTTTTTGCTTACTTTACTACTTACCTTATTGTTTACTTTATTTTTTACATTACTACTTACTTAACTGCTTACTGTACTGCCTTATTGCTTACCCTTTTTAACTTTACTATTTACCTTACTATTTTTTTGCTCACCTTACTGCTTACTTAACTTGACCTTATTGCTTACCTTACTGCTTACCATGCTGCTTACTTTACTACTTACATTACTGTTTTATTGTTAACTTTACTTCTTACCTTACTGCTTACCTTACTACTTTCTTTACTGCCTTACTGCTTACCTTAATGTTAACTTTATCACATACCTTACTATTTTGTTGCTTACCTTACTGCTGACTTTACTACTTACCTTACTGCCTTATTGCTTACCTTAATGTCTACTACTTAATTTACTACACATCTCACTGCTTACTTTACTTTTTACCTTACAGCCTACTTTAATACCAGCCTTACTGCTCCCCTTACTACTCACTTTACTACTTACCTTACTGCTTGCTTTACTACTTACCTTACTGTTGTGTTACTTACCTTTTTGTTAACTTTCTAATTACATTACTGCTTACTTTACTACTTACATTACTGCTTACTCTACTACCCATCTTACTGCTTACTTTACTACCCATCTTACTGCTTACTTTACTTCTTACCTTACTGCTTACTTTAATACCAGCATTACTGCTCACCTTACTACTCACTTTACTATTTACCCTACTGTTTGCTTTACTACTTACCTTAATGCTTTTTTGCTTACCTTAGTGCTTACTTTACTACTTACTTTACAGCTTTATTGCTTACCTTAATGTTTACTTAACTACTCACTTTACTACTTATTCTAGTAACAATCTGTGGGTATAGCAACTTCTCTTCCATCCCTGTGGCACACTGTGGTTGTTACTGTTTAATCTGTGTCAGAAATGATTGACAGTATATGAGGCAGACAACTGGGGACAGGTGTGACTGTAAGCACCACATGACATTCACTATAAGAACGAAAAGTTACAATTTAGTCTAGGCAGGCATTTTGACCAAAAAATTGGACCTGTTAATTTTTGTTACATGTCGACTATATGTATAGATCATCTTAAAAATTGTGCTTTCTTGGAAACTACAGTGCATTTGATTTTTAAAACATTTAATTTCTTATTCTTGATTTCCTCCACCATGTTTTTCAGAATGGTTTGCAGATTAAACTTAAACTGTATCATCAGAACACCTCATAATGTTTACAAACTGGGGAGTTTTGCTCCAGAGCTTGAGTTTTGTGTGCACATCAGTGTTCCACATGTGACATGTTTGTATGCAAACTGTTGGTTCCTCACCTGTCAGGCAGATACTCTCTGACTTTCAATAAAACACCCCCAGCTAGTCAAGTTTTACAAGTCTTGTTAGGGGGCAGTGGGTCTATTATCACCTCCCCCAACCCTTCCCCAGTGGTGTTCAGCAACCCACATGGGAAAACCCACACAGTCAAGGTATACTTATTTGAGATCAAAGAGAAAAGAAGAAGAAGAAGAATTTTGGTTATAGACATTGCACAGGTAGTGCCAAGACAGCACAAAATTAGGCAATAAGATATAAGGTGGAGAATAAAAGAAAGTCACCCTTACTGTATTAGAATCTTTACTTTGTGAACAAAACAGAAACTCTGGCGAGTTTGAGCCGTACCGCACCGACTAATGTCAACCGAGAACGGAAAGTCAAGTACCACCACCCGAAAGGAGCCCCAGATGCTGACCTCATTTTCGGCAACAAGTGAGTCAGACATTGCAAATAAGCAGAGTGAGTGCAATATAGGAAAACATTGATGGTTAAAGTGTACTGTTTGATATTTCATTCTGTAAAATCTGATCACTGAGTGTCAGTTCTGTTACATACGACTTATCGTCAGATAATCCGCACTGATTATGTTTGGTTTATTATTTGACGTTTCCACTTTATACATGTGTCTTTATTCGGTTTGTTTCGTTTATTATCTTCAAAATTATTAGCACATTTATTTTCAAGTAACAGGAGCAAAGAAATAAGAGGCAGACACTAAAGGCACATGAAGAAGGGAGCTAGAGAGTAGAGTCAAAAAGATGGGGAAGACATGGGGAGAGATGCAGGCAGTAGCAAAGAATAAAATGACTTGGCATGAGTTGGTGGAGGGCCCATGCTCCACTAGGGGATAAAAGGCACAGGTAGAATCTACACTGATAATGTTTATCGTTTAACCAGTTTCTTTTTTTTTTTCATTTGTCCTTTTTCAATGCAATTTATGTATTCTCTTCAGATTTATCATCATTGGTTTTATTGCTTCTGTTGTCAACTTAAATTATGCCGTATACATATCAGCATTAAACTTATCAACTTATGAGGTTCTTCAGTCCAGTTATCAACAACAAGTATGCATATTCATAATATTTGTATTAACATTTAGTTTAAGAAAATCTTTATCAACATTAAGTGCATTCTAGAATCTTCAGGTTGTCAACCAATTTATAATCATTAAGTTCGTCTATTTCACAGCATTCAATTTATCACCCCATTTAACAGCATTCAGTTTATCAGTCCATTTATCATCATTCACTTTTTCAGTATATTCCCAGCATTCTCTTTGTCAGAATTCAGTTTCCCAGCATTTAGCTGATTAAATTAGCAATTGGAAATTTGGTCTGAGTAAAACAAGTCATGTAAAGGACTTTTGTCACACCAGTGGCATGTCGGGCATGTGATGCTAAACCCGTGTGTGTTAAAGACCATTTGACGCGTGACTGGGCCTGACAAAACTCTAGCTGCCTATACTTCCCAGGACTTTTCCTGGTACCCATTTTAGATTGTCAGCCTAGGAGCCAAGGTCATTAAAAAAACAAAATATATTCAGCTTAGTGCAGATGGACACCCCAGAACGCTGGGCCACCAGGTGCTTCTAGTCACTGTGGCATTGCAGCTTCCCCAATTAGGTACAACAAATTTGTTTCAAATAATCAAGAGAATCAGGGTCTCTCCATTCTGCCATCATCAAACAAATCAAGTTACTCCAGTATTCTGGTTCCAGCTTGAAAATTGAGACAAACCATAACATGTGTAATGGATTGTTTGGCCTCATTTTGCAACATTTATAATAAAGTTTGTTGATTCATTTGCTTTTTGTCTGAATGTTTTTTTTTCTTAGTGCATGTTTGTGTTCAGATCTTTGTTACTGAAGAAAGCTTGAAATCTTACTGTATATATTTTTATAAAAAAGTGACACTACTTTTAGCATTGTGACATTTAAAAAAAGTTACTGGGTTAAACAATAGTTTAAAAAAAAACCAGTGTTAACACTGGGTTTTGTATGGTTACAATTAAAACTTGCAAACACTGGGTTTTTAAGGCACAGTTAAAACAAGTTAACACTGGTTTTTAGATTTTTATAAGAAATAAAAGTGTTAATGCTGGGTTTAGTAATATTTAAAACACGAACATGGGTTTAACATGGTAACAGTTAAAGCTTGTTAACTCTGGGTTTAACTTGGTTACAGTTGAAGCTTGTTAACACCGAGTTTAGCATGGTAAGAGTTAAGACATGTAACACTGGGTGTAACTTGGTAAATGGTTGTTAATACTGGGTTTCTCTTGGTAACAGTTAAAGACATGTAAAACTGGGTTTAACCTGGTAACAGTTAAAGCTTGTTAACATTGGGTTTAGTATGGTCACAGTTAAAACAACACTGTCTTCATTGAAAATAAAGGATCCAAATAAAGGAAATGACATTGTACGATCCAAACACAGAGTTATTATAATGTTCATTGTTTACAGCTTAGCACATAGCTGTTATACTGCACATTGTGAAGAAAAATCTTAACATGAAGAAATTACAAAGAAATTGTTACATGGTTTAAGAAAACCTAAAAATTCATTAAGGCCCCTTATGATTTTACAGAAGAATGCTGAAATTCCTTGGACAGCCACCATAAGTTACTTTCTTCTTCTTCTTCTTCTTCTACTTCACATTAACTGGCTGTAAACTCTGGCAGAAAGCTCTGGTTGTACATTCACTTCTGGAAGTCTTGTCTTAGAACTTCAGTTTTGCATGCGGATCCACTTTACCTGTCTGGATTATTTGTATGCATACTATTGGTTCCTTGCCTCTCAGGCAGATGCACTCAGACTTAAACCCCCCCCCCCCCCTCCCCACCTAATTATACAACTATTATGACATACTAGTTAGGGAGGCAATGGTTCTATAGTCTTTTCCTCCTACTCCCACAAGGGGGCTTAGTTTCCCACTTGAGTAATGAGTTAATCTAAATGTTTTCAAGAAGATTATGGTCTACATCTTACCACAAATGGGGCGGTCATCTTTGTCATCATTGTGGATTTGGCCACATTATGAGTAGAGAAAAACTGAATGTCTGCCAAGGGAAAAGGTTCATGGAAATGAATATAAGGAAGGTAACAAAAGAAGATCGTTTAGAGCTTTTTATTGTAGCATGTACAGGTGTCAGCACACACAGCTTTATACACACTATTGGAAAAGTTTGATTGTAGGAGCATGGTCGTTGTTTAATATTCACAGAGAAGACAAGACAGAAGCTCTCTCAGATCCTATCTCGCAACTCCTCCAAATATTACTCAACACACACAGCTGATAACTGTTTTGCATATAATAATCACCAAACTTGAGCTTCGAGAGCCTGTCTTTCCATCACCGTCTGGCTACCAACTCCAAACGTTTGTCAGTCTAACAAACAGCCTATCAACAATCAACGGCAGCCACTTACTTCACACATCCATGTTCTGTTGCACGTTATTCACATGGCCAAACCCTCATCATGTCTTTTGCGTTTTCACAAACACAATTAGCATTCATAATAAACACATCACTTTCATCTTTCTCTCAACCTTCACACAATTTAGATTCATACAAATATGATCAGCTCTCACATCGTGCTTCTAATGTCATTGATAAGATAATGCTAAAGAAAGCTAAGTTTTATCTGACCAAACAAGCGTTCTATCAACAATTGGTACAACAGGCATAAAAGAAATGCTAATGTTGAATAAATTTGCCTCTTTTCTTCTCCTCTTCCTCTCTCCTCCTCCTCCTTTCTCCTTCTCCTCTTTCTCCTTCTTCTCCTCTTTTTCCTCCTCCTCCTTTATTCTTCTTTATAAGTTTGGTATGAAGCAGATGTTGCTAGTGATGGTTTTCTAGTCTGTGGAGGTGGAGGCAGTCACTGCTGCCTTCTGTTGGATGAAGTATCAGATGCTGTACATACATGTTGTAACTGTAATGGACTCACAGAGCATGTTGAGAAAGGTGGAGACAGGCATGCTCCTTGCAGAGTGGCAAGCATCGCTTCAGAGGTCCTGGATAGTTAACATCCTTTAGATGTTTGCATCAGGTCATGCCAGTTTGTTGGGAAAGGAGCAGGCAGATAGACATTCTGGTTCTGCATCACATGATGATGAACTGATGTATGACAAGCTAGATGTTGTGAGAGCCCTTTGGGAGCGCATGAACAATAAGAAAGCATAAAAAGATCATTACGGTCTGAGGAGAATGGCGCTGCGAGGAGTTACTAGTGGATCTGGCCAATGCTCAACGCTCAAGGGAAAGGCGAGACCGATATACAGGCAGACAGTTACTGGTACCATCAGATTTGGAACTCTTCACTTGCTGCTGAAGATAGGAATGGAGCACTTATGAGAGTGTCCCGAGTGCTATAATGTTGATTCTTAATTCAGCATTCAACATTCCAGTCCATTATGTCTTCTGAAATAATTTGACTAGGACTGCATATATGATAATTTTTCTTTGTCTATCTGGTTAAACTTTCCATATTAATCTTGTTCTGGCTCTCATGTCTGGTAATTTGCCACCTAAAACCTTTTTTGTTTGCTCCACACTTCCAACTGGGATCCCCATCAGATTCAGTTGTCTCTTCTCTGTCATGTGGAATTTTCTAACTGTAATATATCATTTTTAGGAGCTTTTGTAGTGCAGTGGATAGATGCTTGTCTGCCACTAGAATATAATGGGTTTGAATCTGCACAAGCCTAGTTAGACAAAATATTGATTGATGTGGAATCTTCTAACTGTAATTTATCAGTTTTAGGAGCTGTTGTAGTATAGGGGACAGATGCTCGCTTGCCACTCAAATTTCTTGGGTTTGAATCTGCACAAGGCAAGTTAGACAAAAACATTGATCTTGGCTCTCAGGTCAGTCCAGCCTAAAATTGATACAGGAAATGGCCAGAGAAGTTAGGCAAGTGGCATTGTATTGACCAAATCACCAATAAAGGGCCAAATTGTGTATAAAAATATGAGTTGAACCATATTCTAATGTATCATTATCATTAAAAGGGCTCCTTATTTTTTTCCCCTTACATTAGCTTTTGTTTTCTTCTCTGCCCACAGTATTAAATATATTTACATATGTTCTGTATGTTTTGAATAATAAACCAACCGAATATGCACGTTTTTCTTTGTTCATTTTCTTTATGAATATACATATTAGTAGCAATGCCCAGGTAAATGGAAAATCTGAGATCCAAGATAACCACAAACCCAAACAGGCTTTTTACCTGTGTTTTGTTTGTGTTTTTGTTTGTTTGTTTGTTTTTATTTACTGCAGTTTACTCATCCATTTAAGGCAGGTTTGATGACAGTTCAAAGACTACATGCACTTCTTTATTTTTAACTTCTGATCCTCAAAATGATTAAATCTAGAAGCAACTTTATTGTACTGAGTATTATCCCACCTGGCTCAGCCTTTCTGACCAACTGCAGA